GAGGTATAGAGGTGCTTTTAGAAAATTCGGACTCACACTACTAACGTTTTTTTTAAACCCTTGGAAATTTTGATAAAGCTGGTATTTTAAAAACATGATTTTGCTTTTTCCCTGAATTGTTCGGTAAATTTTCCTAAACTTGACTCGGGTTACATGACGTTATTACCGGGAGAAACCCCTTAACAACACCAAAGGTACCAAAAAAGTTTAACCCTTGGGGAAAGGGTTGTTTTTTGTTATCTCCGGCTTATGAACCAGAAAATTTCCGGGGGCATCCCCCCTGATTTATCCCAAAACCTGAGGGTAGTTTCGGAGTGCACTGATTTCAGGAAAGTAACCTGCCCCTTCTGTTTATTCCCTACCCGCATGACGACCTTTATTGCCGGTGTCAGGGCCCATTTGCACCGTTTAGATCTCTTACGGGGCTTTTACAAGTCCCGTTTACTGAACGTGCTCAAAAAACGCTTTTACTGTTCAGATGGATTGTTTAACTACCTCGCACCCCTGGGCCCCTATGAACGGGGCTTCTTCTTCCAACGAAAATAAACATTGCCCCACAACTTAAAAGGAAGAAGCTCCCTGACGACTTATGGTTTAGGGAAAAAAATTGGGGAACGCACTTACGCTCCAGAGCATTGTTAGAGCTGGCCCTACAACTTCACTGTAAAATTGCAAATTATTTTGGGTAAAGCCGATACCTATCTATTTTTGAAATCGCCAAGTGAGGTTTCCTTTTTGGCAAAAGGTTTTTTGCAATTTCTGTTTTCCAAATCCAAGGATGGGAAAGGGGAAAAGGGTTCCTGGTATGCAGTTTTCGCCAGGTTCTGCCAAACTTTTCTCGTTTGCAGCTCCTCTTACGGGCTTACTAGTGCAAAGTTCTTTCACCGGGGAAGAATTGTTCAACTCTTCCCAAAATTTTAAAACGTTTGCTACCCTCTGCCCGGTTGAAAAGTCCAATTTCAACCCCCTTCTTTTTACTATGTGCGGTTGTTAGAGTGGTGCGTGCCCCAACATCAACACCCCTGATATTCCCTCCATATGTTACTATTCTTTAAGCTAAAATACACCAGAAAAATTTTGCTTAGCTCATGTGGTGCCTTTTTAAAAAATTTTAAGAGTATTTGGGCTTTTCCCCATTTAAAATTCAAATTTTAATCCCCCAAATACCTTTGTTACTTGAATTAATTCAAAAAAGTAATTAATCCCTCCACCCTAAACTATATTATCTGTCATGTCAAATTTATTTATTTATGTATTCACGATTTTTGTTGAGGGGAATAAGCTGGTGTTTTATGGGGAGTTCGGCGGGGGATGTACGCGGACGCAACACTGTCCTGCGCAGACCCCCCCCCAACACACCTTTAAACTGTTTCCCTACCAGATGTTCATACTTCTGCATTCCACCCCCTAATTTTAAAATGGAAGCAGTCTCCTCTCTAGACGAGCCCAACGTGCCCTCCTTGTCAGGGTACCGTCCTACATGATGACAAACCACAAGAAGAATCGTTTTGGGTACGCCCTAGAAAGGGGCATACCTAGTGACGGATTTTGAAATTTTAGAAGGCTTGGGACAAGAGTCGGATTAATTTTTATTTATAAGATAACCAGAAATAATTAAAAACATTCATGCAACTCCTAGTCGACCCTCTGTTTTGGGGGGGGTGTTTCCAAACCCCTGAATGGGTTTTTTCAAGATTATTTTGAAAATAAATTATATTATTTTTCTAAATTTTATATTCTTATATTGCGATAATACTAAATCGTAAATTATGACTTTTATTATTATTTGACGTTATATTTTTTATTTTGCTTATTTGTTAGTGTTAAAATTTTTCTCATTTTGGCTTGATTGTCAAACACTGTAATTTTTCGCTTGTCGCTGTTATCGCCGGCTTCTGGGGCAGTTGTCCCCTAGCTATCACGTTGATCGACGGGGGGTGCCCACCCCCTCGGAAAATAGTCTTTTTGCTGGGAAATCGCTTGCGGTTGAAGATTGTCTGTCTCAATTTTTCTTGTTAGTTCTGTAGAAATTTTTCACAGAACATTGTATAACTTTTGATTTTCGAGTTGTACGAGGTTGTTGTCACATTTCACCTGAAAAATCTCAGGCCCCCGCTTAGCTTTTGACCCAATTTTTTTACTGGTTCCCTTTATTTCACAGTCACAGTTTCCTAGCAAAAGAAAATTCTATTTTGGGGGTTTTTTTTAACTTTTGTGGGGGATTTCAGATGGGGCCCCACTTTTGTCGTTTATTATTTCCCAGTTTCCCGATTTTGTTCCAGTCGCTTTATATGCATTGCTATTGGGCTTTGATTCTTTGTTGTTCAAGCAAAATGTTCGGGGTTTCCAGTCGTCAAAAATTAGTTATTTTAGGGCTTTGTCAGTCCCCTTTTTTTAAATCTTTTCGAGTCTTGGAAAATAGCTAACTACTTTAAAAGACTTTCACCCTACACACCTTGCTATTTGTAATACTTATTAAAAAGTTAATGTACTGCGGTACTTTAAGAAAAATAAATGTGATTTGCTTTCAGCACAATAATATTAACTCGAGAGATTGTTTTTTTTTATTGTGTAATTAATTTACTTTGATAAAACCCTTTAAAAACTTATAGACTTTTAAAAAATTTATTAAAATTTTAATTTCTCAGTTGTAGCCCCCCAGTTTAAACCTAAAGAATATTGAACCCTACTGAATTCAATGGTAATGGCAAGGAACTGACTACTTGTTACGAAAACCCCCTAACACTGGTCTTAAAGGGAGCCTTTTTAGTATTTTACTGGAGTCTCTAAGCTTTTAGAATCGCGTTTTTTTTTAACAGCCCCCAACACCCAAACCCCCCGACACACACTGTGCCACCAACACCCAACCTCGGGACACACACTGTCAGCCACCAAACCCCAACCCCCTGAAAAAACTGTCAGCCCCAACACCCAAACCTCCCCGACCACACTTCACCACCAACCCCAAACCCCCTGACAAACACTGTCAGCCACCAACACCCCAACCCCCCGACAAACACTGTCAGCCACCAACACCCAAACCCCCTGCCACACTGTCACCACCAAAAACCAAACCCCCCCTGAGACCCTGTCACCCCCAACCCAGACCTCCCTACCACACTGTCAGCCACCAACAACCCCCCCCTCGCTGACACCTTACCACCCAAAACCCCGACCCCCTGACAACACGTCACCACCAACAACCCAAACCCCCCACACACCTGTCAGCCACCAACACCCCAAAATCCTGACACACTGTCAGCCCCAACCCAAAACCCTCCTACACAACTGTCAGCCACCAAAACCCCCCCCCCTGACCACACGTCACCACCAACCCCAAACCCGCTGAACACATGTCAGCCCCCAACACCCAAAACCCCCCGCACACCTGTCACCCCCAACACCCAAAAACCCGACCACATGTCAGCCCCCAACCCAACCCCCTGCACACACTGCGCCACCAACACCCCCCAAACCCCCTGACACCCACTGTCAGCCACCAAAAACCCAGACCCCTGACACAGTCACCCCAACACCCAGACCCCCCCGACCACACTTCGCCCCCAACACCAGACCTCCCTGACACCCCGTCCCACCCAACCCAACCCCCGGCACCCTGTAGCCAAACCCAAAAACCAGACCTCCTGACACAATTCCCGCCCCAACACCCAGACCTCCCTGACAACACTGCGCCACCAAAAACCCCGACCTCCCTGACACACCTGTCACCACCAACAACCAACCTCCCTGACACACACTGTCACCATCAAAAAACCAGACCCCCCTACACACACTTCCGCCCCCAAAACCCCCAAACCCCTGACACACCGTCAGCCACCAAAACCCAGACCCCCCTGATACACATGTCAGCCACCCCAAAACCCAGACCTCCCTGACCAAACCCCCTGTCACCACCCAAAACCCGACCTCCCCCGACACACACGTCAGCCACCCCCACCCGACCCCGCTGACACCACTGTCAGCCACCAAAACCCAGACTCCCCTGCACCACTGTCAGCCACCAACAACCAGACCTCCCTGACCACACTGTCAGCCCCAACAAAACCAAAACCTCCCCGAAACCCCAAAGTCAGCCACCAAAACCAACCTCCCTGACACCACTGCACCCCCAACAACCAGCCCCCCCTACACACACTTCACCACCCAAAAACCGACCTCCCTGACACACATTCAGCCCCCAAACACCAACCTCCCTGACACATGTCAGCACCAAAAAACCAGACCTCCCTGGACACACCTTCACCCCCCAACACCCAAAAAAAAACCTCCCCGACACACACTGTCAGCCACCCAAACCCCCGACCTCCCGACACACACGGCAGCCCCAAACCCAAACCCCGCTGACCACACTGTCAGCCACCAACAACAGTCCCCCCTGTCCCCCCAACAAACCCCCCCGCAACCCCCCCACCCAAACCAACCTCCCCGACACACACTTCAGCCACCCCCAACCAGACCCCGAAAAAACGCAACCAAAACCAGACCCCCCCGCACACCTGTCAGCCCCAACAACCCGACCTCCCTGACACACCTGTCAGCCCCCAACAAACCCCGACCACCCCCGAAAAACGTCACCACCCAAAACCAACCCCCGACACACTTTTCAGCCACCAAAAAAACCCCCCGACCTCCCCACAACCCGACCCCCCAACCCCAGACCTCCCTGACCCCAACTGTCAGCCACCAACACCCAGACCCCCCTGACACACCTTTTCCCAAACCAACACCCCAAACCTTTAAACCCCTGACCCCCAACCCAACCCCCAACCCCCCCTCCCCCCCGCCCCGCTGACACACACGTCAGCCACCCCAAAACCCCGACCTCGCGACAGCCGCCCAAATTTCAACACACCAGCTGACAGTGCGGGTTCCCAAGTGACCCACAATACCCAGCAGCGACAAATACCCACTCCAAGGGCACTTGCCCTCCCCAGCTGACCTCACTAACGACGTGAGAGGTAGTTAAGTCAGGTAATTACCGTGGCAGGAGGCCAGAACAAGGAAACTCTCCTGATCGCCTCACGCCACTTTGTTGTTGTTCTAAATTTTCACTGCTTGACGGAAAAAATATTTTTTTTTTTTTGATCTTGAAGTCGCTGCTGGGTTTTTTTAATTCGTTATTTTGTTTTTATGGGTGGTGGAAAAATTAGTTAAGGGGTTTATTTGGGGTTTTTTTGGTTGATATTTTGGAAAAATGAGCGTTCGGATTTATGTGGCTTCGGAAATATTATTTTTTTTATTTTTTTTTATTATGAAGTCGCTTCTGGGGTTGTTTAAATCGTTATTTTTTTTTTGATAGGGGTAAAATTAGTAGAGGGGGTTTAATTGGTTTTTTTAGCTTGATATTTTGGAAAAATGAGCGTTCGGATTTATGTGGCTTCGGAAATATTATTTTTTTATTTTTTTTTTATTATGAAGTCGCTTCTGGGGTTGTTTAACTCGTTATTTTTTTGGGGGGATAGGGGTAAAATTAGTAGAGGGGGTTTAATTGGGTTTTTTTAGTTTGATATTTTGGAAAAATGTGCGTTCGGATTTATATGGCTTCCAAAATATGTTTTTTTTATTTTTTTTTATCGTGAACTCGCCTTTTTGGTTGTCAAAATCGTTATATGCTGTTTTTAAATGGTGGAAACATTAATATAATCGTGTTTAATTGGAATTTACAGTTTGATACTTTTGGAAAAATATGCGTTTTGATTAAATTTTTGTTCATTTTTTTAACATTAAACTCACTTCCGTCATAATCAAAATCATTATATGTTTTTCTGGATAGTGAAAAAATTAGTAGAAGGCAATTTAATGGGGATTTATACTTTGCTATTTTGGGTAAACATGCGTTCGGATGTAATTTATTAAAACGCTGTTTACAAAATGGTATTTGTTTATCTATAACCTTATAAATACTTATACACTCACCAGTAACCTTATATATATTTTTAACATATGCCAGAAGGCTTTTTTTTTAATAATATACACCGTATTAATTTTTTTGATGTGCGTTCGAGTATAAAAAAAAATTATCTAACAAATACTTCTATATATATTTATATTTTACATAAACTATAGAAAAAATACATATTTTCGTAATATAAAAAAAATTTCATTTTGATTGTTCACGTATTATTATACTTCCCTATATGTGATTGAAGTTTTATTTATTTATTTATTTATTAACAATTTTTTTTGTACGGGGTTACATTGCCAGCCTTGCTAAATACGAGAGCTAATTTATTTATTTATTTATTTATTTATTTATTAACAATTTGAGCACACATACAGAGGTACAAAAAAATACAGATAAGAGCAGCATGCCAAAGCCACTTATACTATGCATAGCATTACGGGCTGGCTTAAAATTAACTTAAGATTAACTAAGCAATGATGAAATCAGTGATAAAACATTAATGTAAACAGATAACTATAAAGCACAAGTGAGTATTATAAAGACAGGTCATATAATAATAATAATAATAATAATAATAATAATAATAATCTTTATTTACTACCAGTACATGTACAAGGTATACAGTCCTAGCTGACATCAATGACATACTACTATATAGAAAGCCGCTTGTTATGCTCTGCATTTCGGGCAAATTAGGTCAGTGTCCCAGGATGCGACCCACACCAGTCGACTAACACCCAGGTACCCATTTTACTGATGGGGAACATAGACAACAGGTGGAAAGAAACACGTCCCAATGGAAATAAGTCACTCTGTCTGACTTTTTTGGGTTATCCCAGGTTCTCTACACATATGCTGCTATGTATGATAATTCTATGTAACTGTATTGTGTATACCTGAATAAATTTACTTACTTACTTACTTACTTATTCTACTCTGGCTGGGAATCGAACCCAGGCCCTCACCGTGTGAAGCCAGAGCGTTAACCACCAGAGCCCCATATGGTTGCTTACATTGCTGTACATTCAGTCGTATGGAGTATTCTGTTAGGTAGTGTATTTAAAAAATAATAAAGTTAGATTGGGTTTTAGGTTTAACATTTATGTGATATAATTGTGAGAAACATTTAAGATATACAATTTATAAGGTTCAGTTATTCAGTATTTATTTGGTTTTGGGTGAGTAAGTGATCTTTGAGAAGAGACTTGAATTTATAAACAGGTAGTGTTTCTTTTATATTTACAGGTAATGAATTCCAGATTTTAGGGCCTTTTATGTGCATTGAGTTTTTGCATAGTGTGAGATGGACACGAGGAACATCAAAGAGTGATCTGTGCCTTGTGTTATGGTCATGTGTTCTGTTGAGGTTGGCAAGGAGATGTTTGAGGGGGGGGTTAATATCAGAGTTAAGTGTTCTATGTATGTAATAGGTGCAGTAATAAGTATGGAGTTTTGTATGGTGAGTAGGTTTTTTTTTTATTGAATATTTGGGGGAGTGTGCTGCCTGTAGTGAGAATTTGTTATCATTCTAACTGCAGCCTTTTGTTGGGTAATTAGTGGTCTGAGATGGTTAATTGTTGTTGAGCCCCATGCACAAATTCCATAGGTGAGATACCTGGAGTTTACCTGGAGAGAGTTCCGGGGGTCAACGCCCCCGCGGCCCGGTCTGTGACCAGGCCTCCTGGTGGATCCCGAGCCTGATCAACCAGGCTGTTCTGCTGGCTGCACGCAAACCAACGTACGAGCCACAGCCCGGCTGGTCAGGAACCGACTTTAGGTGCTTGTCCAGTGCCAGCTTGAAGACTGCCAGGGGTCTGTTGGTAATCCCCCTTATGTATGCTGGGAGGCAGGTGAACAGTCTCGGGGCCCTGACACTTTTTGTATGGTTCTTAACGTGCTTTGTGACACCCCTGCTTTTCATTGGGGGATTTTTGCATCGTCTGCCAAGTTTTTGCTTTCGTAGTGAGTGATTTTCGTGTGCAAATTCGGTACTAGTCCCTCTAGGATTTTCCAGGTGTATATAATCATGTATCTCTCCCTCCTACGTTCCAGGGAATACAGGTTTAGGAACCTCAAGCGCTCCCAGTAATTGAGGTGTTTTATCTCCGTTATGCGCGCCGTGAAGGTTCTCTGTACATTTTCTAGGTCAGCAATTTCACCTGCCTTGAAAGGTGGTGTTAGTGTGCAGCAATATTCCAGCCTAGATAGAACAAGTGACCTGAAGAGTGTCATCATGGGCTTGGCCTCCCTAGTTTTGAAGGTTCTCATTATCCATCCTGTCATTTTTCTAGCAGATGCGATTGATACAATGTTATGGTCCTTGAAGGTGAGATCCCCCGACATGATCACTCCCAGGTCTTTGACGTTGGTGTTTCGCTCTATTTTGTGGCCAGAATTTGTTTTGTACTCTGATGAAGATTTAATTTCCTCGTGTTTACCATATCTGAGTAATTGAAATTTCTCATCGTTGAACTTCATATTGTTTTCTGCAGCCCACTGAAAGATTTGGTTGATGTCCGCCTGGAGCCTTGCAGTGTCTGCAATGGAAGACACTGTCATGCAGATTCGGGTGTCATCTGCAAAGGAAGACACGGTGCTGTGGCTGACATCCTTGTCTATGTCGGATATGAGGATGAGGAACAAGATGGGAGCGAGTACTGTGCCTTGTGGAACAGAGCTTTTCACCGTAGCTGCCTCGGACTTTACTCTGTTGACGACTACTCTCTGTGTTCTGTTGGTGAGGAAATTATAGATCCATCGACCGACTTTTCCTGTTATTCCTTTAGCACTGTGATGAACCAGACTGTTACTAGTACTTTGATGAACCAGACTGTTACTAGTACTTTGATGAACCAGACTGTTACTAGTACTTTGATGAACCAGACTGGTACCAGTACTTTGATGAACCAGACTGGTACCAGTACTTTGATGAACCAGACTGGTACCAGTACTTTGATGAACCAGACTGGTACCAGTACTTTGATGAACCAGACTGGTACCAGTACTTTGATGAACCAGACTGGTACCAGTACTTTGATGAACCAGACTGGTACCAGTACTGTGATGAACCAGACTGGTACCAGTACTTTGATGAACCAGACTGGTACCAGTACTTTGATGAACCAGACTGGTACCAGTACTTTGATGAACCAGACTGGTACTAGTACTGTGATGAACCAGACTGGTACTAGTACTGTGATGAACCAGACTGGTACCAGTACTGTGATGAACCAAACTGGTACCAGTACTGTGATGAACCAGACTGGTACCAGTACTGTGATGAACCAAACTGGTACCAGTACTGTGATGAACCAGACTAGTACCAGTACTGTGAAGAGAACCAGACTAGTACCAGTACTGTGAGAAGAACCAGTTTACAAGGAACTGAACCAGGAGATACATGATCACTACATACACGATAACCAGCAGGGCTTCAGGAATGGGAAACCCTGCGTCACAAACCCGCAGGAGTTCAGTAACAAGGTGGCAGAGGTGAGAGGGATTGGTAGACCGCATCTTGTTGGGCTGTAATATGGTTTTCGACACTGTTCCAGACAAGACACTGGCCCAAGAGCTAGAGGAGAAGGCTCCGTGTATGTCAGGCAGTGTACACTGTGTACGTCAGGCCCATATTAGAGTATGCAGCACCAGTTTGGAACCCACACCTGGTCAAGTATGTCATAAAATTAGAGATAGTGCAAAGGTTTGCAACAAGATTTGTCCCGGAGTTAAAGGGAATGTCATACAAGGAGAGGTTAAGGGAACTCAACCTGACGACACTGGAGGACAGGAGGGACCTGATAACGACATATAAAATACTAAGAGGAATCGACTAGGTGGACAGAGACAGGATGTTCCAGAGATGAGACACGGTAACAAGGGGACACAGCAATAAGGGAACAGAGCAACAAGGGAACACAGCAACAAGGGGACACAGCAACAAGGGGACACAGCAACAAGGGGACACAACAACAAGGGGACACAGCAACAAGGGGACACAACAACAAGGGGACACAACAACAAGGGGACACAGCAACAAGGGGACACAGCAACAAGGGGACACAGCAACAAGGGGACACAGCAACAAGGGAACACAGTAACAAGGGGACACAGCAACAAGGGGACACAGCAACAGGGGACACCAATAAGGGGACACAACAACAAGGGGACACAGCAACAAGGGGACACAGCAACAAAGGGACACAGCAACAAGGGGACACAGCAACAAGGAGACACAGCAACAGGGGACACCAATAAGGGGACACAACAACAAGGGGACACAGCAACAAGGGGTCACAACAACAAGGGGACACAGTAACAAGGGGACACAGCAACAAGGGGTCACAGTTGGAAGTTGAAGACTCAGATGAGTCACAGGGATGTTAGGAAGTGGAACAATCTGGAGAGTGATGTAGTGGAGGCAGGATCCATACATAGCTTTAAGAAAAGGTATGATAAAGCTACTCGACCCGGGAGAGAGTGGATCTAGTGTAAATTTGTGTAAATCATCACCGGGCATGTGTCCCGGTGGCCTGGTGGCTAAAGCTCCCGCTTCACACACGGAGGGCCCGGGTTCGATTCCCGGCGGGTGGAAACATTTCGACACGTTTCCTTACACCTGTTGTCCTGTTCACCTAGCAGCAAATAGGTACCTGGGTGTTAGTCGACTGGTGTGGGTCGCATCCTGGGGGACAAGATTAAGGACCACAATGGAAATAAGTTAGACAGTCCTCGATGACGCACTGACTTTCTTGGGTTATCCTGGGTGGCTAACCCTCCGGGGTTAAAAATCCGAACGAAATCTTATCTTAATTGGTGTAAATCAGTGTAAATTGGTGTATATCAGTGTAAATTGGTGTAAATTGGTGTATATCAGTGATAATTGGTGTAAATCAGTGTAAATTGGTGTATATCAGTGATAATTGGTGTAAATCAGTGTAAATTGGTGTAAATCAGTGTAAATTGGTGTAAATCAGTGTAAATTGGTGTAAATTAGTGTAAATTGGTGTAAATCAGTGATAATTGGTGTAAATCAGTGTAAATTGGTGTATATCAGTGATAATTGGTGTAAATCAGTGTAAATCGTTGTAAATCGATCAGTCTTTATGGGTAGATAAAGAATTTCTTTACCTCAAAATAACTCTGAAATTATTTTTTATCCGGTAAATAACTGACAACAACTTTTTTAACTTGCGTTTTATTCCTTGACAACCAATAAAAAAAATATATACGGGCGGTGCAAAAAAAAAAATTGTTTTGATTGCGTTCGATCTTGAAATTTTGTGACGTCACTCGAAAAATTGATGCACGGGAATGTGGTCAGTCGTGAATGCTGTTGTTGACATAGAAAATAGTTCATAAATATACGTTTTTGAACGATTAATGTAGGAAATGTGATTTTAATTCAGAAAAAAATATGAATAACTGATGTTATTGGTAGTTTTGTGAGTTATTTAAGAGTTAATGGAGAAATTAATTGACGCGTGAATGCAGTTTGTTTACAAGCTGTCTGCTGGGAGTGTCAGGGGAAGCCCTAGTGCTGTCAGCCCACTTTTCTGCCATTTTTACCGCTGTCAGCGCTACTTGTGGCTATCAGCTGCCCACCAGGCGGCGAGAAGAGCAGAGGGTAGGCCGGGGTAGCGTGAGAGTAGCGCAGGAGTAGCGTGAGGGCAGCTATGGAGGAGTCAGTGTTGAAGTTACTGGAGTCTGGCACCAGCCACGACGTGGCTCGTCTCCTCAAGGATTTTGTTGACAAGGTAACCCACCACAAGCCAGGGTTTAAGCCAGGTGGGTGGGTTAACCCACCACAAGCCAGGGTTTAAGCCAGGTGGGTGGGTTAACCCACCACAAGCCAGGGTTTAAGCCAGGTGGGTGGGTTAACCCACCACAAGCCAGGGCTTAAGCCAGGTGGGTGGGTTAACCCACCACAAGCCAGGGCTTAAGCCAGGTGGGTGGGTTAACCCACCACAAGCCAGGGCTTAAGCCAGGTGGGTGGGTTAACCCACACAAGCCAGGGCTAAGCCAGGTGTGGTTAAGCCCACAGGAGCGGTGGGTGGGTTAACCCACCATAAGCCAGGGCTTAAGCCAGGTGGGTGGGTTAACCCACCACAAGCCAGGGCTTAAGCCAGGTGAGTGGGTTAAACCCACCATAAGCCAGGGCTTAAGCCAGGTGGGTGGGTTAACCCACCACAAGCCAGGGCTTAAGCCAGGTGGGTGGATTAACCCACCACAAGCCAGGGCTTAAGCCAGGTGGGTGGGTTAACCCACCATAAGCCAGGGCTTAAGCCAGGTGGGTGGGTTAACCCACCACAAGCCAGGGCTTAAGCCAGGTGGGTGGGTTAACCCACCATAAGCCAGGGCTTAAGCCAGGTGGGTGGGTTAACCCACCATAAGCCAGGGCTTAAGCCAGGTGGGTGGGTTAACCCACCATAAGCCAGGGCTTAAGCCAGTGGGGTTATTAACTCAGGATAACCCATTGTTGTTTAGACCAGGTCAGGTGATGGTACAGGTAGAAGACAGGTCAGGTGATGGTACAGGTAGAAGACAGGTCAGGTGATGGTACAGGTAGAAGACAGGTCAGGTGATGGTACAGGTAGAAGACAGGTCAGGTGATGGTACAGGTAGAAGACAGGCACAGGTGATGGTACAGGTAGAAGACAGGTCAGGTGATGGTACAGGTAGAAGACAGGTACAGGTGATGGTACAGGTAGAAGACAGGTCAGGTGATGGTACAGGTAGAAGACAGGTCAGGTGATGGTACAGGTAGAAGACAGGTCAGGTGATGGTACAGGTAGAAGACAGGTCAGGTGATGGTACAGGTAGAAGACAGGTCAGGTGATGGTACAGGTAGAAGACAGGTCAGGTGATGGTACAGGTAGAAGACAGGTCAGGTGATGGTACAGGTAGAAGACAGGTCAGGTGATGGTACAGGTAGAAGACAGGTCAGGTGATGGTACAGGTAGAAGACAGGTCAGGTGATGGTACAGGTAGAAGACAGGTCAGGTGATGGTACAGTAGAAGACAGGTCAGGTGATGGTACAGGTAGCAGACAGGTCAGGTGATGGTACAGGTAGAAGACAGGTCAGGTGATGGTACAGGTAGCAGACAGGTCAGGTGATGGTACAGGTAGAAGACAGGTCAGGTGATGGTACAGGTAGAAGACAGGTCAGGTGATGGTACAGGTAGAAGACAGGTCAGGTGATGGTACAGGTAGAAGACAGGTCAGGTGATGGTACAGGTAGAAGACAGGACAGGTGATGGTACAGGTAGAAGACAGGTCAGGTGATGGTACAGGTAGAAGACAGGTCAGGTGATGGTACAGGTAGAAGACAGGTCAGGTGATGGTACAGGTAGAAGACAGGTCAGGTGATGGTACAGGTAGAAGACAGGACAGGTGATGGTACAGGTAGAAGACAGGTCAGGTGATGGTACAGGTAGAAGACAGGTCAGGTGATGGTACAGGTAGAAGACAGGTCAGGTGATGGTACAGGTAGAAGACAGGTCAGGTGATGGTACAGGTAGAAGACAGGTCAGGTGATGGTACAGGTAGAAGACAGGTCAGGTGATGGTACAGGTAGAAGACAGGTCAGGTGATGGTACAGGTAGAAGACAGGTCAGGTGATGGTACAGGTAGAAGACAGGTCAGGTGATGGTACAGGTAGAAGACAGGTCAGGTGATGGTACAGGTAGAAGACAGGTCAGGTGATGGTACAGGTAGAAGACAGGTCAGGTGATGGTACAGGTAGCAGACAGGTCAGGTGATGGTACAGGTAGAAGACAGGTCAGGTGATGGTACAGGTAGCAGACAGGTCAGGTGATGGTACAGGTAGAAGACAGGTCAGGTGATGGTACAGGTAGAAGACAGGTCAGGTGATGGTACAGGTAGAAGACAGGCAGGTGATGGTACAGGTAGAAGACAGGTCAGGTGATGGTACAGATAGCAGACAGGTCAGGTGATGGTACAGGTAGAAGACAGGTCAGGTGATGGTACAGGTAGCAGACAGGTCAGGTGATGGTACAGGTAGAAGACAGGTCAGGTGATGGTACAGGTAGAAGACAGGTCAGGTGATGGTACAGGTAGAAGACAGGTCAGGTGATGGTACAGGTAGAAGACAGGTCAGGTGATGGTACAGGTAGAAGACAGGTCAGGTGATGGTACAGGTAGAAGACAGGTCAGGTGATGGTACAGGTAGAAGACAGGTCAGGTGATGGTACAGGTAGAAGACAGGTCAGGTGATGGTACAGGTAGAAGACAGGTCAGGTGATGGTACAGGTAGAAGACAGGTCAGGTGATGGTACAGGTAGAAGACAGGTCAGGTGATGGTACAGGTAGCAGACAGGTCAGGTGATGGTACAGGTAGAAGACAGGTCAGGTGATGGTACAGGTAGCAGACAGGTCAGGTGATGGTACAGGTAGAAGACAGGTCAGGTGATGGTACAGGTAGAAGACAGGTCAGGTGATGGTACAGGTAGAAGACAGGACAGGTGATGGTACAGGTAGAAGACAGGTCAGGTGATGGTACAGGTAGCAGACAGGTCAGGTGATGGTACAGGTAGAAGACAGGTCAGGTGATGGTACAGGTAGAAGACAGGTCAGGTGATGGTACAGGTAGAAGACAGGACAGGTGATGGTACAGGTAGAAGACAGGTCAGGTGATGGTACAGGTAGAAGACAGGTCAGGTGATGGTACAGGTAGAAGACAGGTCAGGTGATGGTACAGGTAGAAGACAGGTCAGGTGATGGTACAGGTAGAAGACAGGACAGGAGATGGTACAGGTAGAAGACAGGTCAGGTGATGGTACAGGTAGAAGACAGGTCAGGTGATGGTACAGGTAGAAGACAGGTCAGGTGATGGTACAGGTAGAAGACAGGTCAGGTGATGGTACAGGTAGAAGACAGGTCAGGTGATGGTACAGGTAGAAGACAGGACAGGTGATGGTACAGGTAGAAGACAGGTCAGGTGATGGTACAGGTAGAAGACAGGTCAGGTGATGGTACAGGTAGAAGACAGGTCAGGTGATGGTACAGGTAGAAGACAGGTCAGGTGATGGTACAGGTAGAAGACAGGTCAGGTGATGGTACAGGTAGAAGACAGGTCAGGTGATTGTACAGGTAGAAGACAGGTCAGGTGATGGTACAGGTAGAAGACAGGTCAGGTGATGGTACAGGTAGAAGACAGGTCAGGTGATGGTACAGGTAGCAGACAGGTCAGGTGATGGTACAGGTAGCAGACAGGTCAGGTGATGGTACAGGTAGAAGACAGGTTAGGTGATGGTACAGGTAGAAGACAGGTCAGGTGATGGTACAGGTAGCAGACAGGTCAGGTGATTGTACAGGTAGCAGGCAGGTCAGGTGATGGTACAGGTAGAAGACAGGTCAGGTGATGGTACAGGTAGAAGACAGGTCAGGTGATGGTACAGGTAGAAGACAGGTCAGGTGATGGTACAGGTAGAAGACAGGTCAGGTGATGGTACAGGTAGAAGACAGGACAGGTGATGGTACAGGTAGAAGAGAGGTCAGGTGATGGTACAGGTAGAAGACAGGTCAGGTGATGGTACAGGTACAAGACAGGTCAGGTGATGGTACAGGTAGAAGACAGGTCAGGTGATGGTACAGGTACAAGACAGGTCAGGTGATGGTACAGGTAGAAGACAGGTCAGGTGATGGTACAGGTACAAGACAGGTCAGGTGATGGTACAGGTAGAAGACAGGTCAGGTGATGGTACAGGTAGAAGACAGGTCAGGTGATGGTACAGGTAGAAGACAGGTCAGGTGATGGTACAGGTAGAAGACAGGTCAGGTGATGGTACAGGTAGAAGACAGGACAGGTGATGGTACAGGTAGAAGACAGGTCAGGTGATGGTGCAGGTAGAAGACAGGTCAGGTGATGGTACAGGTAGAAGACAGGTCAGGTGATGGTACAGGTAGAAGACAGGTCAGGTGATGGTACAGGTAGAAGACAGGTCAGGTGATGGTACAGGTAGAAGACAGGTCAGGTGATGGTACAGGTAGAAGACAGGTCAGGTGATGGTACAGGTAGAAGACAGGTCAGGTGATGGTACAGTAGAACAGGAGGTAGTACAGGTAGAAGACAGGTCAGGTGATGGTACAGGTAGAAGACAGGTCAGGTGATGGTACAGGTAGAAGACAGGACAGGTGATGGTACAGGTAGAAGACAGGTCAGGTGATGGTACAGGTAGAAGACAGGACAGGTGATGGTACAGGTAGAAGACAGGTCAGGTGATGGTACAGGTAGAAGACAGGTCAGGTGATGGTACAGGTAGAAGACAGGTCAGGTGATGGTACAGGTAGAAGACAGGTCAGGTGATGGTACAGGTAGAAGACAGGTCAGGTGATGGTACAGGTAGAAGACAGGTCAGGTGATGGTACAGGTAGAAGACAGGTCAGGTGATGGTACAGGTAGAAGACAGGTCAGGTGATGGTACAGGTAGAAGACAGGTCAGGTGATGGTACAGGTAGAAGACAGGTCAGGTGATGGTACAGGTAGAAGACAGGTCAGGTGATGGTACAGGTAGAAGACAGGTCAGGCACTTTTAACACAATAATCATATTTATTGTAATATGATCATATTTCTGTTTTTACAAAGTATTTTAACAATATAAGTCTTTATTTTGATTTCTTGATCATATTTTTGCATTTTTTTACAATTAGTATGAGAAACAGTTCACCCCGGTGGGTCTGGACGCTGACCTGTGTCACCGACTGTGGGACGTGATCCTGGGACGCCTGAGTGACCCAGCGGCCAGCACCACTCACCAGACTTGCCTCTCCGCCATAAGAATTTTAAGGTAGGTTAACAAAAACGATTTTTTGGGGGGTATACAGTGTACAGGCGCTTCTCGACTTACGATGGTTCGACTTACGATGGTTCGACTTACGATGGTTTGACTTACAATGGTTTGACTTATGATGGTTCGACTTACGATGGTTCGACTTACGATGGTTCGACTTACGATGGTTCGACTTACGATGGTTCGACTTACGATGGTTCGACTTACGATGGTTCGACTTACAATGGTTCGACTTACGATGGTTCGACTTTCGATGGTTCGACTTTCGATGGTTCGACTTTCGATGGTTCGACTTTCGATGGTTCGACTTTCGATGGTTCGACTTACGATGGTTCGACTTACGATGGTTCGACTTACGATGGTTCGACTTACGATGGTTCGACTTACGATGGTTCGACTTACGATGGTTCGACTTACGATGGGTCGACTTACGATGGTTCGACTTACGATGGTTCGACTTACGATGGTTCGACTTACGATGGTTCGACTTACGATGGTTCGACTTACGATGGTTCGACTTTCGATGGTTCGACTTACGATGGTTCGACTTACGATGGTTCGACTTTCGATGATTCGACTTACGATGGTTCGACTTACAATATTTTGACTTGACGTTGGTACAAAAGCACGAGACTTGAGATAATTAACCAGCATGAAGGTGGCAGGTCCCTAACTTGTATTCATTTATTTATTTTTATTACTCATATTTAGTTACACCTTTGACTATCTCGCATTAGTATTAATAGAAATTTTGATTAATAAAAAGATAACCACTCTGTCTTGTCTAGACTTAGTTCTTATGTATTAGGATTAGTTTGCCTGAAATGCCCTGACATGATAGTGACTTCGTGTACTTAAATCAAAATTGTAATTACACATTGTAACTGTAAAGAAATAAAATCCTTATTGTAATTTTTTATGTACTTAATGGCATTAGTTATTTATTTACTTATCAATTTAACATATCAGATTCATAAATAACAAAATAAGGCACAATACCATGACTGGAACGATACACAAATAACCCGCACATAAAAGAGAGAAGCTTACGACGACGTTTCGGTCCGACTTTGTAAATGGTCCAAGTTGGACCAAAATGTCGTCGTAAGCTTCTCTCTTTTATGTGCGGGTTATTTGCATATCAGATTCATATTCAACTTATGATATTTTTGACTTGCAACGAGTTCGTCGGAACATAGCCCCATTGTAAGCCGAGGACCACCCATACTTGGAAGAGTAAATTGCCGAAAGGGTCGTGGCAGAGCTAAAAAGGAATACAGTGGACTCCCGGCTTACAATAATATTTTATTCCAGAAGTATGTTCAGGTGCCAGTACTGAACGAATTTGTTCCCATAAGGAATATTGTGAATTAGATTAGTCCATTTCAGACCCCCAAACATACACAAATAACCCGCACATAAAAGACAGAAGCTTACGACGACGTTTCGGTCCGACTTGGACCATTGACAAAGTCACACTAACAGAGGAGGAGCAGGACGGCTATATATAGCCGTCCTGCTCCTCCTCTGTTAGTGTGACTTTGTCAATGGTCCAAGTCGGACCGAAACGTCGTCGTAAGCTTCTGTCTTTTATGTGCGGGTTATTTGTGTATCGTTCCAGTCACGGTATTGTGCCTTTTTGTTATTTACCCCAAACATACACGTACAAACGCACTTACATAAATACACTTACATAATTGGTCGCATTGGGAGGTGATCGTAAAGCGGGGATCCACTGTATAAAACTCCTCTTTGGTTTATATTTACCAAATAAGAGTATAAGATATTTAATTAATGGATATCTGGATACCTAGTGTGAAATACGTACAGTAGTCCCCCTGTATCCACGGGGGAATACTTTCCAGGACCTACTGTGGATACCAGAGACTGCGGATAGTAGCGAATCCTATATATAAGTAGTTTTGAATTTACATACACGCCTATGATGAAGCTTAATTGATAAATTATGCACAAAAAATGGGGAATTAGCACTTTTTCACTGATGGAAAGCACTTCACTGTAATTTTCAGGGGCCACGGCAAACCACGGTTAACTGAAACCGTGGAAACCAAATCCACGGATACTGTGGTCCTACTGTATTTCATTAAGTAAAATGTATTTATGGCCTTTTTAGGAAATTTACAGTAATGTTTCTGTTTTAAGAGAGCTTAATTTTCATTACATTTTGAAAAATTTTCATGTATATTTGTAAAACTTTTTTTTACAATGATGTTTTTACCTTCAAACTTTTTTTTCAGTCGTGATAAATCTTCGTTAAACCGGGTTATTGATAGCAACAGACTAGCGGTGATAGTTCGACTGGCCGGCTTGGTGCCAGAGGAGGAAGCCTTGGAGCGACTTAATCAACAGATTAATTACGATGGTACGGTTAAAGTTATATTAACTTCCTGTGAGAGTGTTCTGCTATATTAACTTCCTGTGAGAATGTTCTGCTATATTAACTTCCTGTGAGAGTGTTCAACTATATTATCTTCCTGTGAGAGTGTTCAACTATATTAACTTCCTGTGAGAGTGTTCAACTATATTAACTTCCTGTGAGAGTGTTCAACTATATTAACTTCCTGTGAGAGTGTTCAACTATATTAACTTCCTGTGAGAGTGTTCAACTATATTAACTTCCTGTGAGAGTGTTCAGCTATAACTTCCTATAAGAATGTTCAACTATAGATTAATTATGATGGTACTGTTTAAGTTAATTTCCTGCGAGTGTTCCACTGTATATTTTGCCATTACAGCAATTAATGTGTAATTATCTATTTGTAGTTAAAGGAGAATAACTATGTTAATAAGCCAGAGAACGGGTGGGGGTTGAACTCATGGAAAGGGAGTCCCTAAACTTGCCTGGTGAGGCACAACCTTTTTATAAATTCATGTTCTCCTTTCGTTTGTGTATCTGCTGGAGAAGACCCAGGCTGAAATATTCAGATCGGTTAATTTTCCGTTTTTGTCTCCATTTTATTTTTGTCAACACACCAGCCATCTTTTTACATTTAGTAATTTATACAGGAGAAGGGGTCACTAGTCCCTTGCTTCTGGCATTTTAGTCGCCTCTTATGACATGCATGACTTACGGAGGAAGGATTCTAACCCACTTCTCATGTGGGTTATTATTGAGTGTTTGCATTATGTTAAGCTCTATATTGCTTGTTCTTTTGTTTGGAAAATAACTTGTATGGCACAACAGGGGAACACTGCATCAACATTTATGATCCCAGATTATTCAACATTTTACCAGAAAATATCAGAAACACTGCTGGAACAAGTGTAGAAGCCTTCAGGAGGAACTGGACAAGTATCTTCACCAGGCACCAAATCAACCAGGCTGTGATGGATATGTGGGGCAGTGGGCCTCCAGCAGCAGCAGCCTGGTTGACCAGGCTAACACCAGACAAGCCTGGCCCATGGCCGGGCTCCGGGAGTAGTAAGCCTCGAAACTCATCAAAGGTATAGATTTTCTGTAAATATCATTACATATACCATCACTGCACATACAGCACCTCTTTTCACTGATGATTAAGACACATGTGCAGCAGTTAGGTATCTTTATTGTTGAAATATTTTGCCAACACAATAGGCTTCTTTCAGTCAGGTACAGAGGCAGCAAGTGTAGTAGTGAAATGAAGATGATGTAATCAGCCCATCAACCTTGGAGAAATAGTATTTAAGGTAGTCAGTCTCAGCCTGGAGAAGAGTTCTGCTTCATGGTCTGGGGGTCCCATGATTTCATTGGCTTTCAATTGAGCCATTGTTCCACCCACTGGTGAACATTGCCGGTGGGTGGAACATAATGAACAATGGCTCAATTTGAAGCCAATGAAAAATGTGGAACACCGAAGAGAGGTGCTGTATATGTGGGTCCCTTTTATATGTTTCTGTATATCCAGGGCCCTTCTGTGAAGTTTTTCTGTATATCCAGGGCCCTTCTGTGAAGTTTTTCTCTATATCCAGGGCCCTTCTGTGAAGTTTTTCTGTATATCCAGGGCCCTTCTGTGAAGTTTTTCTCTATATCCAGGGCCCTTCTGTGAAGTTTTTCTCTATATCCAGGGCCCTTCTGTGAAGTTTTTCTCTATATCCAGGGCCCTTCTGTGAAGTTTTTCTCTATATCCAGGGCCCTTCTGTGAAGTTTTTCTCTATATCCAGGGCCCTTCTGTGAAGTTTTTCTGTATATCCAGGGCCCTTCTGTGAAGTTTTTCTGTATATCCAGGGCCCTTCTGTGAAGTTTTTCTGTATATCCAGGGCCCTTCTGTGAAGTTTTTCTGTATATCCAGGGCCCTTCTGTGAAGTTTTTCTGTATATCCAGGGCCCTTCTAAATACATTTTTTAAAGTTTCTGAAGTGTTGCTTATATTTCTAGTTTTGATTGAGGTACAGAAGTGCCTGAGCAACTTTACATACGAGAGAATAGTTCGTAGATTTTCTGAATAAAGCTCATTACAGTAGTCTTCCCCTGGCACCTGCGGGAAATACATTCCAAGACTTAATGTGATTACCAGAAACCGCAGGTGGTATCGAACCCTATATATAAATAGCTTTTTGTTTACGTACCTTTGATAAAATTTAATTGATAAATTATGCACAATAGTGAAGAATTAGCAGTTTGTCATTGATGGGTAGCATTTCACAGCTTCTCTTAGGCTTTGAAGAGCTGCCACTATTACTATTTTTGTGCTTTGGTGCCATTATTAAGCAAAATTAAGGGCTATTTTCAAGCCACAGTAAACCTTGGATAGCTGAAACTGCGGCAACCAAATCTGTGGATATGGGAGTTCTACCGTATTAAGTTTTTCTAATTTTTGTTAAGTGTTATTTGTATTTCTAGTTGTGATTGAAGCACAGAAGTGCCTGAGCAACTTGGTGTACAATAGCAGTTCCATCCAGCGGATGTGTTGCAACAACAGCTGTGTTCCGGGCCTCATGTGCCGCCTCAAGACCTTCAGGGACCCGGAGCTGCCGCACATCGTCAAATACTTCGACATGAGACTGCTCTTCTTGCTGACAGCTTTCTGCGGTGACATCAGGTAAGGGAAATGGTGCATTTCCTTAGGTCGGAGGTCAGCAAACTTTTTTAGGTGTTACCCAAAAACAAATTTGTATACGGGAAAATTACCCACTTGACTGGAAAGTCTGCCTGAGATGCACTGCATGTTAGTGGCTTTCTTTGTGCTTAACAATATTTTAATACAAGTAAACTTTATTTTGTATACTGCAGAAGGAAATAAAGTTGTTTGTTTCATAGAAATAATGTTTGCATTAATGTAGACAGTGTCTCCACAGACCGCAGCTGAGATCGGAGTACCACGGCCTCACATACTTAATTGAGATTCTGGACTTGTCTCTGAAGACGGCTCAGGAGGAGAGTGAAATCCAGTCCATCAACGGCTATATTCCTTGTCCTGTCATTTTTAATGTAAGTCTATCCTTAGGATAATGTTCATAGAATTACCTACACTGCGTCAGGGGGGTCATTTAAACTGCCATATCTGCACCCCTCTAGCAAGACATTGATGGTGTGAATGATGGTGTAAGTGTTTCTTCTTTTTCAGGTCACTCTGCCTTGGTGGGAAATGGCCAGTGTGCTAATATAAAAATTAATAAATAAAAAAACAAAGTTCTCCATGGGGTAGTGGGATAGAATCTTTCCTGTATAAACCATGCGTGTCCTAAGAGACAACTCAGATGCTGGCAGCAAGGTGCTAGTAATGCCTTCTCATGTATAAATTATTGAATGTAAAAAAAAGAGAAACTTTTTTTTTTTTTTTAGGTGACCCTGTCTTGGTGGGATACAGCTGGTGTGTTTTGAAAAAACCAGGTAGTTGGACTTGAGTCCTGGAGGTGGTAGAGGCAGTGTTTGCACTCTGAAGGAGGGGCAGGGGGTCAGAGGGTGATCCTGTTGTGATGTCAGCGCACTTTGGAAAGATGGCATTTGAATGAACGATGGTGAATGTGTTTTCTTCTTTGAGTCACGCTGCCTTGGAGAGAGATGGCCATTGAATTAAAATAAAATTAATGCAAGAAAACCTGTGAATTTGTAAGGATGACGCCATTTTCATATTTTTTTTTAAAACATGCTGGCTGTTTCCCACTTAGGCAGGGTGACCTGAAAAAGAAACACTTTTACCATCATTCACACTATCACTGTCTTGCCAGAGGTGCACAGATACAACAGTTGATATGTTACTCTAAACAGCAAATATCCCATATCCCATAGTCATACTAATCAGCTATGGAATGTTGACTAGTTATTATGGATTTTTTTTAGGAGGGGTGTTAATGTTGCAGTTTTATAACTGTAGTGTAAGTGCACCTCTGACAAGACAGTGATGGAGTGAATGATGATGAAAGATTTTCTTTTTCGGGCCACCCTGCCTTGGTGGGAGACAGCCGATGTGTTAGTAAAAAAAAAAAATAATTGCAAGTGCAGTCCTAAGCTAGGCTTAAGCTAACCTGAAATACTATGGGTAACATCGTGTCATGTGGAGTAAAAATTATAAGATTAAGATTAAGATTTTATTTTGACAAATTACATGGTTGCACAGAGGAATATAATAGTTGGGTATACATGTATCATTATTATTATAGCTAGACTTGAGTCCTGGAGGTGGGAAGTACAATGCTTCCACTCTGGAAGATGGAGATACATGTATATTGCAGTTTTTGAACTAGTGTAGGCACATCTGTGGCAAGACAGTGATGGAATGAGTGATGAAGAACGTGTTTCTTCTTTTTTGGGGACACCCTGCCTCGGTGGGAAACGACTGACGTGTTAATAAAAAACAAAATATTATTACAGCGTCTTTCTATTTTCAGGATGAGCAGGCCGAACTGGTGAACGAAGTTTTAAAAGTCTTGTACAACCTGGTCCTTCATATTGACAAGAACAGCCCAGACGAAGAAGAGGACAGTCATTGTCTTCGCTTGATCACTATACTCCGCTCTCTCTTGCTGGCGCTCTGTCGATGCCCAGAGAAAACTGATTCCCTGCACAGGTCATTGTTTTTTAAGTTTTCTTTCTGTATACGGCGACCCCAGAACTTACAACCTATGTTGAAAATACAGCCTCTCCTCACTTAACAACGGAGTTCCATTCCTAAGACCACGCCGTTAAATGAATTTGTCGCTAAGTGAGGAGCATACTATAATGGTTGCATGTTTGTGTCAACCATCATTGATATTGTTTTAATGTCACCTTTGCACCATTTATATGATTTCTGGTATATTTTTAAATGTTTATACAGTAGTGTACTGTATATTATAATAAAATATATTATAATAGCTGATTTCCTCTAGGAAATCAGCTATAATATACATTATTTAGGCATGCATACTGGTCAGAGAGCCTGACGTAAGTCCAAGGCATTGGTAAACAAGTATGTTGCTGTGGAAATATAAACACATATGCAGTTTAATGTGATCCTTTATTGACAACGTTTCGCCCACACAGTGGGCTTTTTCAAGTCATAAACAGATCTGAGTATGTCGCTAAGTGAGGAGAGGCTGTAGCATACAGTACCAACGAGGTGCTCTTCGACGTACGATATTTCAACTTTACAATGGTAGAAAAACAATTACTTTGGGGATGAAACTTAAGATAAATATACCGAGCATGAAGGCAGCAAGTCCCTGTCTTATATACATTGTTTTACTTTTCAATACTGGTAGTATAGTGGACCCCCGGTTAACGAACTTTTTTCATTCCAGAAGTATGTTCAGGTGCCAGTACTGACCGAATTTTTTCCCATAAGGAATATTGTGAAGTAGATTAGTCCATTTCAGACCCCCAAACATACACGTACAAACGCACTTATATAAATACACTTACATAATTGGTCGCATTTGGAGGTGATCGTTAAGTGGGGGTCCACTGTATTTAGTTACAGTGATAATTTCTTCATTTACTTATTTAGTAACAGTGTCAATTTAAAGCAAGAACGAGGATTAGTCTGCCCGAAATGCCTAGGCGTACTAGAGGCTTTCCTTGTAATTAATATTTTAATATATGTAAAGCATCTCTGCAAAAACAGTGATTATGTGTGAGTGAGGTGAAAGTGTTGAAGGATGATGAAAGTATTTTCTTTTTTGGGATTTTCTTTCTTTTTGGTCACCCTGCCTCGGTGGGTCACCCTGCCTCGGTGGGTCACCCTGCCTCGGTGGGTCACCCTGCCTCGGTGGGTCACCCTGCCTCGGTGGGTCACCCTGCCTCGGTGGGTCACCCTGCCTCGGTGGGTCACCCTGCCGCGGTGGGTCACCCTGCCTCGGTGGGTCACCCTGCCTCGGTGGGTCACCCTGCCTCGGTGGGTCACCCTGCCTCGGTGGGTCACCCTGCCTCAGTGGGTCACCCTGCCTTGGTGGGTCACCCTGCCTCGGTGGGTCACCCTGCCTCGGTGGGTCACCCTGCCTCAGTGGGTCACCCTGCCTCGGTGGGTCACCCTGCCTCGGTGGGTCACCCTGCCTCAGTGGGTCACCCTGCCTCGGTGGGTCACCCTGCCTCGGTGGGTCACCCTGCCTCAGTGGGTCACCCTGCCTCGGTGGGTCACCCTGCCTCGGTGGGTCACCCTGCCTCAGTGGGTCACCCTGCCTCGGTGGGTCACCCTGCCTCGGTGGGTCACCCTGCCTCAGTGGGTCACCCTGCCTCGGTGGGTCACCCTGCCTCGGTGGGTCACCCTGCCTCAGTGGGTCACCCTGCCTCGGTGGGTCACCCTGCCTCAGTGGGTCACCCTGCCTCGGTGGGTCACCCTGCCTCGGTGGGTCACCCTGCCTTGGTGGGTCACCCTGCCTCGGTGGGTCACCCTGCCTCGGTGGGTCACCCTGCCTCGGTGGGTCACCTTGCCTCGGTGGGAGACGGCCGACTTGTCAAAAAAAAAAAAAAAATGAAAACCACACATTGTAAGCTTTGCAAAGGAATAAACATTTTTATTTTAATTTTCATTTGCCTATTTATTTAGCATATATTTATGTTCGACTTACGATAGTTTCAACTTACGATATTTTCAACTTATGATATTTTTGACTTACAATGGGTTTGTTGGAACATAACCCCATAGTAAGTCGAGGACCACTTGTATGTGTCTTACTCATCAACTTTCAACCTAAAGGACCTCTGAAGAACTGTTGTGAGTCATGCCATTGTGAGTCATGCCATTTTTACTATAGGCACAGTGTTATAACTGAGGAATCTTTCCTCAGAATCATTTGCATAACCTAACGGTTATGCAATTGATTTTAGGGGCTCTTACCAGGAAATAATGGTCGTAAATGCTGGGGAGTGTAAGTCATGGGGACATAAGTCAGCGGAATGTAAGTTTGTGTGTGGGGGTCATGTAATATGTTAAGACTGTGTATGGTACAGATCTTGACCTCAGACAAGACTGGAGAGTATTAAGACCTGGTCATAATACTGACTTTATTTCTTTTATTATTACACATTAGCCACTTCCCACCAAGGCAGGGTGGCCCGAAAAAGAAAAACATTCCTCATTCACTCCACTGTCTTGCCAGAGGCGCGCTTACTTAAAATACAGTGGACCCCCGCATAACGATGGCATCACATAGCGATTTTTCCGCATACCGATTACTTTTATCGCAAAATTTTTGCCGCGCATACCGATTAAAAACCCGCTTACCGATTTTCGTCCGAGACGCGTCCAATGTGCCCTCAGCCAGCCTCACATGTGCCGGCCGTCCCATTGTTTACCAGCCAGCCTCCGCGGTAACATCCAAGCATACACTCGGAATATTTCGTATTATTACAGTGTTTTCGGTGCTGTTTCTGGAAAATAAGTGACCATGGGCCCCAAGAAAGCTTCTAGTGCCAACCCTGTGGTAAAAAGGGTGAGAATTAGTATGGAAATTAAGAAAGATTTTGAAGGGTTTGGGGCTAACCCTGAGAAGCCTATGCCAGTTGTGGAATCCATTGTGCCTACTTCAAAGATTAAGGAAATGTGTGCACAGTGGGTTGAACTGCAAACCTTTATAGATGAAAATCACCCTGACACAGCTGTTGCAAGCCGTGCTGGTGACTATTTCAATGACAATGTTGTGGCCCATTTTAGACAAATCGTAAAGGAACGGGAGGTACAGAGCTCTATGGACAGATTTGTTGTGCGACAGAGGTCCAGTGACTCTCAAGCTGGTCCTAGTGGCATTAAAAGAAGAAGGGAAGTAACCCCGGAAAAGGACTTGCTACCTCAAGTCGTAATGGAAGGGGATTCCCCTTCTAAACAGTAAGAAGATAATGCTCTCCCCTCCTCCCATCCCATCAATCATCACCAGATCTTCAATAAAAGTAAGTGTCATGTAATTGTGCATGCCTTTTTCAGTTTGTGTGTATTAAAATTAACATTTCATGTGGTAAAAAAAAATTTTTTTCATACTTTTGGGCGTCTTGCACGGATTAATTTTATTTCCATTATTTCTTATGGGGAAAATTCATTCGCATAACGATTATTTCGCATAACGATGAGCCCTCTTGCACGGATTAAAATCGTTAACCGGGGGTCCACTGTATACAGTAATTCCATACACAGATAACCCGCACCTGGGAGAATGAAACCCGTGATAATGTTTCGGTCCGACTTTGCCCGTTAACTATTTAATGAACTGAAACGTGGTTGTAAGTTTCATTCTCCTGTGTGCGTTATTTGTGTATTATTCCAGTCACGGTATTGTACCTTTTTATTCTTTACAGTAATTTTGTATTAATGCATACTTAAAATTGTACTTTGTTTATTTAACTACCTCACTTTTGTACATATAAAAAGCTTCTACTCAATAACCTATGTCTAGTTCTAAAGTAATTTGTAAGCATTAAGATCAGTCTGCCTGAAATGCACCAAATGATTCTTTTGTGATTAACCCTTAAATTATCCAAACGTAGATCTGCGTTTGCACCGCTAGCACTCCGAACGTAGATCTACGTATTTTTTATATCTAAGAAATCATGTAAAAAGGTAGATCTACGTTCGGTGCGCTAGCGGTGCAAACGTAGATCTACGTTTAGACAGTTTAACCCGTAAACGGCCCAGGCAGATCTACGTTCACATGCGTAGTGCTCCAAAAGTAGATCTACATTTTTTTTTTACATATTTTCAAATATAACCAAAAAAAGTAGATCAAAGTTTTTTTTACACATTTTCAAATGTAAAAAAACAAAAAGAAGATCTACTTTTTTTACATTCAAATGTTGAAAAAACGTATATATACGTTTGGACCGTTTACGGGTTAAGGGTTAATAATATTATATTACATGTAAACTGCATTACTGTATGCTGCAGAAAATAAGTTGTACAGTAATTCCTCGATTTACAGAGACATTGAGAATATTTTATAGTGTGTATAATATCATTATTAAACACAGTACAGGTCCCCAACATGTTCGGAAGTTGAAAATTTCCTGTATTATGAATTTTTATAATGTAGATCTATGTTTGAACAGTTTAAAGGTTAAAGTGCAGGCATTGTACGTACTTCCCATTTCCAGGACTCAAGTCCGGGTAACCGGTTTCCCTGAATCCCTTCACAAAATATTACCCTGCTCGCACTCCAACAGCTCGTCAGGTCCCAAAAACCATTTGTCTCCATTCACTTGCTGATATACTGTATTTTGAATTTACTCAATTCAGGAGGTCCCCAATGTGTTTATAAGTCGAGGACTTACTGTATTGTATTGTATAAGTTGTATTATATTTCAATTGTTTTTTGCCTTGCAGCAACACTGTTAACTTGTTGCTGGTGATGCCACCGAACATGTATGAGGAGTTGTTACTGAGTATGCCACAGGCTAATGGTGGAGCCTCGTCCCCACCCATGCCAGCGGTAGTGACGACACAACCCACCGCCGGGGCCACGGCGCTGGTCGAGGCTGCGTGCTTCACCGACATTAATAGTCACGAACTGGACGAGCGTTCGTGTGAGTACGATGGGAAAGACATGACCGCCATAATAAAGCTTCTAGATTTTCTCGACTCGAGGCTAAACACGGTAAGTATTTTTCTTTTCCGCAAATAGCCAACTCTTGTGGATTTAGTGCTTAGTTATGATTATAACAATAATTTTTCCAGAATGACCTACAAGTAACAATAGACATGAATACGATGTGCAGTTGAATGGTTCAGAGAACCAATAAATTCACAAATTAGACCCATTTCCAACGCTTGGGTATCTTTATTGTGGCAGAAGAACGGTAAAGATCAGAAGGAGTTTGAGGCAATCAGTCCCTCAGCCTGGAGTCCATGGAAGCAGCCCATGAGTCTTGATAAGAATACAGCACATGGTAGGTAGGTATAATGTTTGTCAGGAAACAGGACAAGTGTTTCCTGAAACGAGTCTTAGTCATACAATGACCCACAGCTAGAGCTTTTGGTCATCTGACTGAGGCCTTCCACTGGCTTACCTCTCTACCTCTTTAAAAATCATGGTTATGATTATAACCATTATAAGCATTAGTAAATCTATTACAGCATATGCTTAGGGAAAGTGGAACAATTCTTCCTCCATACCATGCATGTCGTAAGAGGCAACTAAAATGCCGGGAGCAAGGGGCTAGTGACCCCTTCTCCTGTATACATTACTAATGTTAAAAAGAGAAACTTTTGTTTTTCTTTTTGGGCCATCCTGCCTCGGTGGGATATAGCCGGTGCGTTGAAGAAGCAGCTTAGTAAAGTGGCTTGTATACTGCAGACAGGTGAGGTGAAGCAGTGGTAGGTGGCATCACCTTGGATGAATCCACAGGTGGAAGTAGGTCGTGACTATAAGTGTCAAGATGTTGCTGAGTCTGACAGGAATGTAGATAAATGGACCAGAGCAGGGCCTCCATGAGAAATTTTGCAATGTGGGACAAGACTAATTTGGGACCCCTGGGGGCAGGCTGGGGCCCCCAGTCGAAGTTCACTTTATATGCTGGAAAATACAGTAAATCCCCTTTATGCTGTATTCTTATCAAGATTGATGGACTGTTTACATCAACTTCAGGCTGAGGGACTGATTACCTCAAACTCCTGATCTTCAACCATTCTTCTCTGTATAGGACTGATGAAGCCACTGTGTGGTGAAACATTTCCACAATAGAGATACCAAAATGTTGCATGTGTCTAATTTATCAATGAATGCAGTGTAATGGGACCTTCCATTGACGGTTTCGTGAGTCACGATGGCAGCTGTAAGGTGACTTGAGCTAGAGTACAACACAGCCCTGCTGGTTTGGGATTCATCTGTAAAAAACAGCACTTATGGTCACAGTGGTGGCCCATGCTAACCTCCTTATGGTGTATAGAGATATACAATCATACCTCGCCCTACTTCATTAATTAGTTCCAAGAACCATGACATAACCCAGTTTTTGATGTAAGCTGGACATAATGCCTTAAAAGTGCCTTAAAATGATGACAAACACTGTAAAACTAGCGTAAATAACTCACAGAAGAATACATATAACTATTGCTAAACCTTAAAAAACACTTAACCCGTAAATGGTCCAAACGTATATATACGTTTGGACCCCCAGTTAACGATATTTTTTCATTCCAGAAGTATGTTCAGGTGCCAGTACTGACCGAATTTGTTCCCATAAGGAATATTGTGAAGTAGATTAGTCCATTTCAGACCCCCAAACATACACGTACAAACGCACTTACATAAATACACTTACATAATTGGTCGCATTGGGAGGTGATCGTTATGCGGGGGTCCACTGTACGTTTTTCCAACATTTGAATGTATGTAAAAAAAGTAGATCTTCTTTTTGTTTTTTTTACATTTGAAAATGTGTAAAAGAACTTTGATCTACTTTATTTTTTTTGTTATATTCGAAAATATGTAAAAAAAAAATGTAGATCTACTTTTGTAGCGCTACACATGTGAACGTAGATCTGCTTAGGCCGTTTACGGGTTAAAACACATTTTAGTCATATTTTTTAAAGAATAATAAACGCAAAAATTATGACGTAGGTGACATTGCTGAATGACATAAAGTCTAACGTAATGATGATCGCTGTTCTGAAATTTATTCTAGAAAGGTGGTGTAAAGGCGAGTTTGACGTTGGCCGAAATGACGTAACACAGGGTATGACTGTACTTAGCTGGATGAATCTTATTAGAGGTGGTCAAGTTGTTGACACACTGGTCTGTACTCGCCTATTTGTGGTTACAAGGGTTGATTCATAGCTCCTGGCCCTGCTTCTTCACTGATCGCTATTAGGCCCTCTCCCTGCTCCATGAGCTTTATCATACCTCGTCTTAAAACTATGTATGGTTCCTGCCTCCACTACATCACTGTGACTGAAGAAATATGTACTTCCTAACATCCATCTGACTCACTGTGAGCTGCAGCCCTCACTTGCCGTGGGTTCATACCCCACCCGTTCCGTGGCTTGTTTTTTTTATTGATGTCCAGATCTGTTTGTGTCTTGATTAAGCCATCTGTGTGGGCAAAACATCAGTAATGGCTCATATTATGTTAAATTTGTGTTTCGTTTTTTGTCTCTTGATTGAGCCACCAATGGGAGCAAAACGGCGCATTTGTGTTTCTTTTCCCATTGTGTTCGCATTTTAAGAATGTCTCTCCAAATGACCTACAGTTTGGAAAACTCTTAGACAACATTAAGGACCATGATTAAGTCACGTCATGACTTAATAATGGTCTGGGACCAAACACAACATCTAAAAATGTCCTCGTTAAGTTGTAGGCTAATTGCAAAATGTTTCGGCCTGTTCCTTTATCATTGTCAATTACCATAAAAAAGTTTAATTGAGTTTTCACTTGTTTTTTTTCAATGAACTGGCTCTCTCCCACCAAGGCAAGCTGACTCAAAAAGTTTATAATGCGCAAACTTATGACCACGTTTCGGTCCGACTTGGCGGTGAAATGCAGTTGCACATTTCATTCTCCTCTGTGTGGGGTATTTGAGTATTCTTTCAGTCACGGTATTGTGCCTCTTATACAGTGGACCCCCGCATAACGATTACCTCCGAATGCGACCAATTATGTAAGTGTATTTATGTAAGTGCGTTTGTACGTGTATGTTTGGGGGTCTGAAATGGACTAATCTACTTCACAATATTCCTTATGGGAATAAATTCGGTCAGTACTGGCACCTGAACATACTTACGGAGTGAAAAAATATCGTTAACTGGGGGTCCACTGTATTCTCTTTGAGTTCGTAATAATAATTTTTATTTCAGCAAGATACAATGCTTATACAGAGATGGGTGACATTTAGGCGTGCATGTAGAAAGTATTTCAGACAAACTTAAGCCCAATTTAACCCTTAAACTGTCCAAATGTAGATCTACGTTTACACGCGTAGCGCTCCGACCTTGATTTTCTCCATTTGAAAGCATCCGAACAGAGATCAACGTTCGGAGCGCTACACGAGCGAACGTAGATCTATGTTCGGACAGCTTAAGGGTTAAATAAGGCAATAACTAATTGATTGCTTATTTATACAGTCTCTGAGAGGTTATAGAAAACAAATTTAGGATTTTTTTTTTTTTTTTTTTTTTTTTTTTTTTTTTTTTTTTTTTTTTTTTTTTTTTTTTAAAGAACAAACAGTCAGTTGATTACCAGCTTGAACATTCTTCACTAATATCTAATTATTCATTTCTTTGTGATGAACATTTCACTTTTTTATTGTCATGTGGAATACTGTAGGGCCCCATATATATGGCAAGTTAGGTTCCGGGCTATGTGCTATTTCCAGCTCAAATATTCTTCATTATGGCTTATTATTCAGTTGTTCTTGATGAACATTTCACCTGTTCACAAATAACCTGCACATAAAAGAGAGAAGCTTACGACGACGTTTCGGTCCGACTTGGACCATTTGGTTTAAGTCGGACTGAAACGTCGTCATAAGCTTCCCTCTTTTATGTGTGGGTTATTTGTGTATCGTTCCAGTCACGGTATTGTGTCTTTTTTTGTTATTTCACCTGTTCATCGCCACATGGAATGTTCTTACCCGAGATTCACACTTGTTCTTGTTCATTGCTGCTGTAGCCAGAAAATCAGCTCATGACTTGGGCAACATACAAGGTAGCAGACCAGTTTTGTTTCACATAGTGTAAATCCCGCTCTGAAATTGATTTTACGATTGGCATTTTTAGTTCACAGTTGCAGTATATGTATGAATACATGCTAGAGTGAGCTTAAGTTGTAGTGAATGATGCTGTATGACCCTTGTGGGTTTAGTGCTAGGTTCTGATTATAGTAACAATATAATGAGTGACTGGTATTGTATAAACAGAAGAGGAAATGGGGATTTGAACTGTAGGCCCATCAGGACTGTGGTTCAAGTCTCTATTGTTTATGCTGCAGTTTTGTGCTTGTGTCTATATTTTTTGGTCAGAGAAAGCTACCATTATTAGTTTTCACTTTCTGGTTCTATGCTGGACACAGTTTGGCACTCGTGTCCTGTATGTGACACCTCTACTTTTCAGCACTGCAAGGCTCGCCGTGCAGTGCCGAACAACCTTCCTCAAAATTGTAAATACATACTATATTATCATACACAAAGAATTAGACACATGTCCAACATCTGGGTATCTGTATATGTATACATTTTGTCATCCAGTGGTTTTTTCAGTGCAGTACAGTCATACGTCACTTAATGACAGGGATAAGTTCTGAGAAATGTGTTATTAGTGATTTTGTCATGTGAATATCATAGTGTATAAAGCCGCTGCCACCATAACACCCCATACTGTTTTAAAGTAAACTATTTTGTGTAAGTAGAAAGAGTAGATTCTAGAATAACGATAAAAAGTAGAGTATAGTAAATGCACGAACCATCAACATTGTTATTTATCATTATCAAGTATTATGTACTGTAGATAATTATAAGTGTTATACTTTTATGTGACTGGGACCACTGTTATATATGTGACTGGGACCACTGTCATATATGTGACTGGGACCACTGTCATATATGTGACTGGGACCACTGTCATATATGTGACTGGGACCACTGTTATATATGTGACTGGGACCACTGTCATATATGTGACTGGGACCACGTCATATATGTGACTGGGACCACTGTCATATATGTGACTGGGACCACTGTATATATGTGACTGGGACCACTGTCATATATGTGACTGGGACCACTGTCATATATGTGACTGGGACCACTGTCATATATGTGACTGGGACCACTGTCATATATGTGACTGGGACCACTGTCATATATGTGACTGGGACCACTGTCATATATGTGACTGGGACCACTGTCATATATGTGACTGGGACCACTGTCATATATGTGACTGGGACCACTGTCATATATGTGACTGGGACCACTGTCATATATGTGACTGGGACCACTGTCATATATGTGACTGGGAGCACTGTCATATATGTGACTGGGACCACTGTCATATATGTGACTGGGACCACTGTCATATATGTGACTGGGACCACTGTCATATATGTGACTGGGACCACTGTCATATATGTGACTGGGACCACTGTCATATATGTGACTGGGACCACCGTCATATATGTGACTGGGACCACTGTCATATGTGCTGTCCGCCGTTGACTGTAACGTCACTATGCAGCGCATAACTCTAATGTGAAGAATGTAGAATTATACACCGTAGTCGTGAAGAATGTGAAGCGACAGTCTTCCTGCCTGTGCTTCAGAGTCTTCAAGACCACGGTCCTCTTCACCAACACCAAGACTGAGGGACTGATTACCTCATCTTTTGTATATAGTTCTACAGTCTTCACATTATGTCCTTGTGCTGATAAATTTACTGGATGGGCAAAACATCTACACATTAAGATACCCAGATGTGGCATACTTGTCTAATTCTTCAATACTTATTATTACTATTAACCCTTTCAGGGTCCAGAGGCCAAATTTCAAAGTGCGCACCAGTGTCCAAGAATTTTCCAAAAAATAATTTTGTTATTTTTTCTTATGAAATGGTAGAGAATCTTTTCCTGAAGGTAATAAAGCAAAAAGTACGAAATTTGATGGAAAATTGACGAAATTATGCTCTCGCGAATTTTGACGTGTCAGCGATATTTACGCATTGGCAATTTTGCCGACTTTGACTCCCATTTTAGGCCAATTACATTATTCCAGTCGACCAAATTCTTAGCTATTTCACTAGTATTGCTTCTGTTCTATCAATTGAGCACAAGAATTCGCCACCTCAACTGTTTCAACTACAAAATAAAGTGATCAGAAATTGATAATTTGGTCAATTTAGTGCAAAGTTCAAAATATTCCTATTTAAAAATAGGGTCCAGAATAAATAATGCAGACATTCCTGGCACTAAACTAACATTTCCTCTGTTCATTAGTTATGTTTTGAGGCTTTACCAATGAATTCCATTTTGATTTTTTATTCACATAATGAATTTTTATTCAAACCAAAAAATAGAAGATTTACTGTTATGCAATATTTAATAATTGTATAAATAATATCACCACATTTGTGAACATATATTAGACCCACCAGCCGGCGTGTATTAGATGTGTGAGGTCATTTGTTTACTCTTGAACATCGGCAAAAATTTAACATTTCTGCTACTTTGAGCTCAGTTTCCAGTCATTTTCAGTACGAAAACCAATCAAAATTATCTATATTTCTGTAATATGTCTTCCATTCCATCAAATGAGACCAAGAAATTGCAAATACAACTATAAAAAACATACAAAAAAATACTGCAAAGTCGCTGTTTTAATCGAAAATTACGATCTCAGTTTTTTTCTCTCATTATGCACTGTGTGCTGCAGGATTTGTTTTATGTGGAACACACGTACCACATAGATGTATTCTCTCATATCAAGGCCAAAATTTACCGTCATGAGCTCAGCTCATGACGTAGATCTACGGTTTGGACCCTCAACCTAAAGCCGTAGATCTACGGCACGGACCCTCAAGGGGTTAATATTATTCTTTTTATTATTATTATAGGAACTTTACATTACTTCAGTGAACAATTTCCATAGCATAAACAGAGTGATCCATAATGCTTTTCATAGGCTGTGCTATGCATTAGTTAATTTGGTTACAATTGCCGTTTTCAAAATGTGTATATTTTGACGCTATTTTTTTTTATCATGACCGCTTGCTACCTTGGCGTTGTCAGGGTCAACCCAGGCAGGTAAGGTGACCAGTCGCAGTCATCCAGTGTCTCGAGTCGCACTACAGCCAGGCCTCGATTATTACAAATTTGATTAGTACGAATTAAGAGTGAAATTAAATAATTACATGTATATTTTTTTCCCCCAAACTCTTCAACTCATATACAAAAATTAGATATAATTCGCATAATGCATCCATTTTATGGAAGTCAATGTTCGCACTAACCGAGACCTGGCTGCGTGTTACTGTCTCCGAAAATATGCAGAGAACTCAATTTTGTTTGCACATTCATTTGTCTTTTGCACAGTGCCCATGAGGCAAAAATATCTGTGATTAGTATATATGCTGTGAATAAATGGAAAGATCGATGAGGGGCGGGGGCACGGATTACTGCGTGTAAATTAATAATCTGATGGTTTGCTGGCTGGGGCTTGTGCTTCCCATCCATTTTTCCGTTTATTAGTTGACAGTTGTTTATATGCCTAGTGTTTGCTTACATGTCTTTCTAAACCATTAAAACTTAATCTGTGATTGATATATACTTTAATATAGCAGCATAACGTGTGGTAAATAATTGATTACTCGTTCTGTAGCCTGGGCAGTCATCCAACAAGTCTCTGATGCCCATCCTGACGCTGATGGTGGAGATGGTGCAGGCCAACCGTACCATACGCAAGTTTGTGCGTTTGCGGGTGTTGCCGCCACTGCGGGACGTGAGCAAGAGACCAGAGGAGGGGCGTACACTGCGTAACAAGCTCTGTACCCTCATGACCTCCCCACTTCACGATCTCAAGCACTTGTCTGCCAACTTCCTCTTCATTCTATGCAAAGAAAGTGGTAAGCTGGAAGAAAATTGTCTTTAGAGGAACTGAAGGTGTCCCCTTTAAATCCTTTCCCCAAAAAAACACCTGTGCTTATTAAGGGCTCTTAATCCAAGGGATTAGGTAAACCTCCCTTCCTGGAATTGGACTTAATTAGCTCCCAGTCTTCAGGCACTATGATTTTTACAAGTTTTGGGAGAGCATGTTAGGAGTGAGTGGAAGTAAGTGGTTTTTATGACTTGATGTGCTGTTGGAGTGTGAGCAAGGTAACATTTATGGAGGGATTCAGGGAAACCGGTGAACTGGACTTGAGTCCTGGAGGTGGGAAGTACAGTACCTTCACTCTGAAGGATGAGTGAGGATGTTACAATCCTGGAGGTGGGAAGTACAGTACCTGTACTCTGAAGGATGAGTGAGGATGTTACAATCCTGGAGGTGGGAAATACAGTACCTGCACTCTGAAGAATGAGTGAGGATGTTACAGTCCTGGAGGTGGGAAGTACAGTACCTGTACTCTGAAGGATGAGTGAGGATGTTACAGTCCTGGAGGTGGGAAGTACAATACCTGTACTCTGAAGGATGAGTGAGGATGTTACAGTCCTGGAGGTGGGAAGTACAATACCTGTACTCTGAAGAATGAGTGAGGATGTTACAGTCCTGGAGGTGGGAAGTACAATACCTGTACTCTGAAGGATGAGTGAGGATGTTGCAGTACTGGAGGTGGGAAGTACAGTGCCTGTACTCTGAAGGATGAGTGAGGATGTTACAGTACTGGAGGTGGGAAGTACAGTACCTGTACTCTGAAGGATGAGTGAGGATGTTACAGTACTGGAGGTGGAAAGTACAATACCTGTACTCTGAAGGATGAGTGAGGATGTTACAGTACTGGAGGTGGAAAGTACAATACCTGTACTCTGAAGGATGAGTGAGGATGTTACAGTCCTGAAGGTGGGAAGTACAATACCTGTACTCTGAAGGATGAGTGAGGATGTTACAGTCCTGGAGGTGGGAAGTACAGTACCTGTACTCTGAAGGATGAGTGAGGATGTTACAGTCCTGAAGGTGGGAAGTACATTACCTGCACTCTGAAGGATGAGTGAGGATGTTACAGTCCTGAAGGTGGGAAGTACAGTACCTGTACTCTGAAGGATGAGTGAGGATGTTACAGTCCTGAAGGTGGGAAGTACAGTACCTGCACTCTGAAGGATGAGTGAGGATGTTACAGTCCTGAAGGTGGGAAGTACAGTGCCTGTACTCTGAAGGATGAGTGAGGATGTTACAGTACTGGAGGTGGGAAGTACAGTACCTGTACTCTGAAGGATGAGTGAGAATGTTACAGTACTGGAGGTGGGAAGTACAGTGCCTGTACTCTGAAGGATGAGTGAGGATGTTACAGTACTGGAGGTGGGAAGTACAGTACCTGTACTCTGAAGGATGAGTGAGGATGTTACAGTCCTGAAGGTGGGAAGTACAGTACCTGTACTCTGAAGGATGAGTGAGGATGTTGCAGTACTGGAGGTGGGAAGTACATTACCTGCACTCTGAAGGATGAGTGAGGATGTTACAGTCCTGGAGGTGGGAAGTACAGTACCTGTACTCTGAAGGATGAGTGAGGATGTTACAGTACTGGAGGTGGGAAGTACAGTACCTGTACTCTGAAGGATGAGTGAGGATGTTACAGTCCTGGAGGTGGGAAGTACAGTACCTGTACTCTGAAGGATGAGTGAGGATGTTACAGTCCTGGAGGTGGGAAGTACAGTACCTGTACTCTGAAGGATGAGTGAGGATGTTACAGTCCTGGAGGTGGGAAGTACATTACCTGCACTCTGAAGGATGAGTGAGGATGTTACAGTCCTGGAGGTGGGAAGTACAGTACCTGTACTCTGAAGGATGAGTGAGGATGTTACAGTACTGGAGGTGGGAAGTACAGTACCTGTACTCTGAAGGATGAGTGAGGATGTTACAGTCCTGGAGGTGGGAAGTACAGTACCTGTACTCTGAAGGATGAGTGAGGATGTTACAGTACTGGAGGTGGGAAGTACAGTACCTGTACTCTGAAGGATGAGTGAGGATGTTACAGTCCTGGAGGTGGGAAGTACAGTACCTGCACTCTGAAGGATGAGTGAGGATGTTACAGTCCTGGAGGTGGGAAGTACAGTACCTGCACTCTGAAGGATGAGTGAGGATGTTACAGTACTGGAGGTGGGAAGTACATTACCTGCACTCTGAAGGATGAGTGAGGATGTTACAGTCCTGGAGGTGGGAAGTACAGTACCTGTACTCTGAAGGATGAGTGAGGATGTTACAGTACTGGAGGTGGGAAGTACATTACCTGCACTCTGAAGGATGAGTGAGGATGTTACAGTCCTGGAGGTGGGAAGTACATTACCTGCACTCTGAAGGATGAGTGAGGATGTTACAGTCCTGGAGGTGGGAAGTACAGTACCTGTACTCTGAAGGATGAGTGAGAATGTTACAGTACTGGAGGTGGGAAGTACAGTACCTGCACTCTGAAGGATGAGTGAGGATGTTACAGTCCTGGAGGTGGGAAGTACAGTACCTGTACTCTGAAGGATGAGTGAGGATGTTACAGTCCTGAAGGTGGGAAGTACATTACCTGCACTCTGAAGGATGAGTGAGGATGTTACAGTCCTGAAGGTGGGAAGTACATTACCTGCACTCTGAAGGATGAGTGAGGATGTTACAGTCCTGAAGGTGGGAAGTACAGTACCTGTACTCTGAAGGATGAGTGAGGATGTTGCAGTACTGGAGGTGGGAAGTACAGTACCTGTACTCTGAAGGATGAGTGAGGATGTTGCAGTACTGGAGGTGGGAAGTACAGTACCTGTACTCTGAAGGATGAGTGAGGATGTTGCAGGTCAGAGTGTCATCTGGGCACATTTCCGGCAAGACAACAATTGAATAAATAATGGGTTGTGGATTTTTACAGCCTTGGTATCGTAGGTTAGCCGTGAATTGTTCCAGCCATGGTATTGTGGGTCGTGAGTTGTTCCAGCCATGGTATTGTGGGTCGTGAGTTGTTCCAGCCATGGTATTGTGGGTCGTGAGTTGTTCCAGCCATGGTATTGTGGGTCGTGAGTTGTTCCAGCCATGGTATTGTGGGTCGTGAGTTGTTCCAGCCATGGTATTGTGGGTCGTGAGTTGTTCCAGCCATGGTATTGTGGGTCGTGAGTTGTTCCAGCCATGGTATTGTGGGTCGTGAGTTGTTCCAGCCATGGTATTGTGGGTCGTGAGTTGTTCCAGCCATGGTATTGTGGGTCGTGAGTTGTTCCAGCCATGGTATTGTGGGTCGTGAGTTGTTCCAGCCATGGTATTGTGGGTTGTGAGTTGTTCCAGCCATGGTATTGTGGGTCGTGAGTTGTTCCAGCCATGGTATTGTGGGTCGTGAGTTGTTCCAGCCATGGTATTGTGGGTCGTGAGTTGTTCCAGCCATGGTATTGTGGGTTGTGAGTTGTTCCAGCCATAGTGTTGTGGGTTGTGAGTTGTTCCAGCTTTGGTATTGTGGGTCGTGAGTTGTTCCAGCCATAGTGTTGTGGGTTGTGAGTTGTTCCAGCTTTGGTATTGTGGGTTATGAGTTGTTCCAGCCATAATATTGTAGGTTGTGAATCATTCCAGCTATGTTATAATGAGTTTATTATTATAACTTTTACTACTAACTTAGTTATATTTGTTACAGTTGACCGTCTGATAAAGTACACCGGCTATGGCAATGCTGCCGGACTCCTCGCTTCTCGTGGACTCATGCTCGGTGGCAGTAAAACGTCGGTGGACTACTCTTCGGACTCTGAGGATTCCGACACGGAAGAGTACGAAAGAGTGAGGGAAATGTAAGTAGAGTGTGGTAAACCCATAAAGATAAAGATTTATTTCTTTGTAAAGGTTACAATGTATAATTACAATTTTGGTTTTCTAAGTACGTACAAAGAAAGCCACTATCATGCCGGGGCATTTCGGGCAGACGTAAACCCATACCCGAGGATTCCGACACGAAGAGTACGAACCAGTGAACGATGATAAGTATGAATGATGTAGCGGATCAGATTGTAACCAACTTTGAAAATGATGAATGAAACCGGTACAAATTATACATTGAAATTCTTTACATTCAAGTTTCATTTCAAATTCAAAATCATATTTTGTGCAGTACAAAAAGGCACAAAAGAAGCCACTAGTATGCAGTGAACTTCAGTACAGTGGACCTCCGGTTTACGATATTATTTCATTCCAGAAGTATGTTCAGGTGCCAGTACTGACCGAATTTGTTCCCATAAGGAATATTGTGAAGTAGATTAGTCCATTTCAGACCCCCAAACATACACGTACAAACGCACTTACATAAATACACTTACATAATTGGTCGCATTTGGAGGTGATCGTAAAGCGGGGGTCCACTGTACAGATACTAATGCCAATAGACTACTTAAGAACAACTATAATTTCTTTTTATTAAACTTAATTAAGCCATATAGCATGAACTAATAGACTATTCAATGCTCTTATATTCATTGTTCATTGTAAATTCCCAAATTTACAGTTACACCCACCAAAGTGACTGTGTGTATAAAATTACTCATATCATTATTGTCGTCATAATCTTAACCCTTTGAGGGTCTGTCCCATAGTTCTGCGGCTTGAAACCAGGGTCCGCGCCGTAGTTCTGCGTCATGAGCTCAGCTTGCTCAGATAAGCTGTAAATTTGGGCCTAGATATGAGAGAATGGATGTGTGGTAAGTGTGCACCGTATAAAACAAATCCTGCAGCATGCAGTGCATAATGAGGTAAAAAAAACTGTCACTGTGTTTTTGGATTAAAACAGCGACTTTGCGGTGTACAGTGGACCCCCGGTTAACGATATTTTTTCATTCCAGAAGTATGTTCAGGTGCCAGTACTGACCAAATTTGTTCCCATAAGGAATATTGTGAAGTAGATTAGTCCATTTCAGATCCCCAAACATACACGTACAAACGCACTTACATAAATACACTTACATAATTGGTCGCATTGGGAGGTGATCGTTAAGCGGGGGTCCACTGTATTTTCGTATTGATTTTACAGTTGTATTTGTGGTTTCTTGGTCTCATTTGATAGAAAGGAAGAAATATTACAGAAATAGGGATGATTTTGATTGGTTTTATTACTGAAAATAGCTATAAATTGAGCTCAAATTAGCGGAAATGTTCGATTTTTGCTGATGTTCAAGAGTAAACAAACGACATCACACATCCAATACACATCAACTGGTGGGTCTAATATATGTTCATGAATGCAGTGATTCGAGTCTCTAAACTCCAGCCTGTCGCGTTAGCCACTAGACCAGCCACTAGACCAGCTAGCTGGTCTAGTGGCTAATGCGATGGGCTGCAGTTTTGAGACTCTCTGACCGCGGGTTCAATCCCGGCCGGGGTATGATTTTAATGCAGTGATATTATTTATACAATTATTACAATATTGCATAACAGTAAATCTTCTATTTTTTGGTGTGAATAAAAATTTTTTGTGAATAAAAAATCAAAATGGAATTCATAAGTAAATCCTGGAAACATAACTAATAAACAGAGGAAATGTTATTTCAGTGCCAGGAATGTCTGCATTGTTTATTCTGAACCCTATTTTGAAATTGGAATATTTTGAACTTTGTGTGAAATTGGCCAAATTACCAATTTCTGATCACTCTATTGGGTAGTTGAAATAGTTGATTGGGCAGTTTCTTGTGCTCAGTCGATAAGATAGAAGTAATACCAGCAATAAAGCTAAGAATTTGGTCGACTGGAATAATGTAATTGGCCTAAAATAGGGGTAAAAGTGGGCAAAATCGCCAGTACATAAATATCGCAGACACAGTAAGATTTGCACTAGTGTCATTTTGTCAATTTTCCATCAAATTTTGTACTTTTTGTTTTATTACCTTCAGAAAAAGATTCTCTTCCATTTCATGAGAAAAAAAGAATTTTTTTTTTTTAACCCGTAAACGGTCCAAACGTATATATACGTTTTTTCAACATTTGAAAGTATGTAAATAAAGTAGATCTTCTTTTTGTATTTTTACATTTGAAAATGTGTATAAAAACTTTGATCTACTTTTTTTTTTATACAGTGGACCCCCGGTTAACGATATTATTTCACTCCAGAAGTATGTTCAGGTGCCAGTACTGACCGAATTTGTTCCCATAAGGAATATTGTGAAGTAGATTAGTCCATTTCAGACCCCCAAACATACACATACAAACGCACTTACATAAATACACTTACATAATTGGTCGCATTGGGAGGTGATCGTTATGCAGGGGTCCACTGTATTTGAAAATATGTAAAAAAAAACGTAGATCTACTTTTGTAGCACTACACATGTGAACGTAGATCTGCTTGGACCGTTTACGGGTTAAATTCTTGGACCCTACGGCTTGGACCCTCAAAGGGTTAAGTTAAACATCTTAAGTTTGCCTGAAATGCTCTGCATATTAACCCTTTGACTGTTTTCGACGTATAAATACGTCTTACGAGCCAATGTTTCTGACGTATATATACTCAATAATTCTAGCGGCTTCAAATCAAGCGGGAGAAAGCTGGTAGGCCCACGTGTGAGAGAATGGGTCTGTGTGGTCAGTGTGCACCACATAAAAAAAATCCTGCAGCACACATTGCGTAACGAGAAAAAAAAAACTCTGATCGTTTTTTTGGAATAAAACGCCGACTTTGAGGTGTATTTTTGTATAGTATTTATCGTTGTATTCGCGTTTTCATGGTCTTAGGTGATAAAATGGAAAACATATTACAGAAATAGAGATGATTTTCATTACTTTTACGATGAAAACGACCTTGAAACTGAGCTCAAAGTAGCGGAAATGTTCGATTTTTACCAATGTTCAAGAGTAAATAAATCACACCACACGTCCAATACACGTCAACTGGGGAGTCTAATATTCTTTCACTAGTGCACTGATATTATTTATACCATTTTTACAATAATGCAGTCGTCTGCATAACAGTAAATTTTGTATTTTTTTGTATGAATAAAAAATCAAAATAGAAAGCAATAATAATATAAGAGGGGCCTAGAGATGTGACTAATGAACAGAGCATATGTTATTTTAGTGCCACGAATGTCTACCTTGTTTATTCTGGACCCTATTTTGAAATTGGCATCTTTTTTATTTTGCGTGAAATTGGCCAAATTGCCAATTTCTGACCACCATATTGGGTAGTCCAAATTAGTAAATGGGAGGTTTCTTGTACTCAGCTGATAGATAAAATGGAGTTCTAAAGAAATAGCTATGAGTTTGGTCAACTGGAACAATGGAATTGGCTGAAAATTGGGCTCAAAGTCGGCGAAATCGCCGATACGCATATGTCGCCGAGACCGCTAACTTCGCGGGAGCATAATTCCACGAGTTTTCAACCAAATTTCGAACTTTTGGTGTCATTACCATCGGGAAAAGATTCTCTATCATTTCATAAGAAAAAATAATTTTTTTTTTTTTTCAAAAATTGAGTGACATAGAATGACAGTTTCAGAGAGGGGCCTGAAACAGTCAAAGGGTTAAGGGACTTTCTGCATGTACACCTAAATGTTATTCACCTTTGTACAAACATTGTATCATGTTGAAATAAGTTTATCATTATAAATTGTGTACACACTACAGTGGAACCTTGGTATGTGACCTTAATTGTGTACACACTACAGTGGAACCTTGGTATGTGACCTTAATTGTGTACACACTACAGTGGAACCTTGGTATGTGACCTTAATTGTGTACACACTACAGTGGAACCTTGGTATGTGACCTTAATTGTGTACATACTACAGTGGAACCTTGGTATGTGACCTTAATTCATTCCAGAAGGCTGTTCGAGTGGTGCTCCATTTGAGTATCGAGTAAGTTCTTCCCAACCAATTTTCTGTTTGGTTGGCTATTATCACTAATTGTCGTAGGCCCCATGGTGACTTATTTATACAAATACTACAAAAAATACACCAAAAAAATGCGAAGAAACACGGAATAGTTTACAGTGAAGTTCTGGCAGGTTGTATTTGTTTGGTCAAGTGCTGAGCTTTGTTCGAGTAGGGAGCTGATCGTATACCAAGGTTCCACTGTACTATGGTGCACAGTATAGTGAGTGAATGATGATAAAGGTGTTTCCTCTCTTTCGGGTCACCTTGCCTTGGTGGGAAACGGCCAATGCAGTAATAAGAGTAATAACAAAAAAGGCACAATACCGTGACTGGAACGATACACAAACAACCGCACATAAAAGAGGGAAGCTTACAACGACGTTTCAGTCCGACTTGGACCATTTACAAAGTCACACTAACCAGAAGTTAGTGTGACTTTGTAAATGGTCCAAGTTGGACCAAAACGTCGTCGTAAGCTTCTCTCTTTTATGTGCGGGTTGTTTGTGTATAAGAGTAATAGAGTGCCTAAGTGTGTTTTTTCTGTTTTTTTAGTATGCTAATGCAACAGACACTTGGACAGTACCCGCTCCCCCCTCCTATTTGTTTTCAAAAACCATAAACGTGTTGCAAAATTCGGCAACATTTATCTCATCCCATATACAAAGCCCTTAGATGCACAGAGCATTTTGGTCAGATTAAAATCTGGATCTTAAAATTTCTTGACAGTGTATATACAGGTTGGCTATCACTGATCCGGCAGTCACTAATCTAGTTCCATCACTAACCTGGCACTAATTTCGCCTAGCATGGAGGTCTAGAGCAATGCAGTGTTATAAGTGAACAGGAAATAATGAACACTTACATGCTGCAGGATAAACTAATCAAAGAAAGGCCAAAAATGATGCTGGCTTAGTGATGGTCGACCTGTACGGTAAGTCCTCACCGAACATTGTCGAGGCTTGGTCACAGACCGAGCCACAGGGGCATTGACCTCCGAAACCCTCTCCAGGTATAGATTTTTTGAATCTGCGATTTTAAGTGAAACAACATATGTAACAAGACCATTATAAAACCTTTTTAAAACTTATAGTTTTTTCTAAACGTCACACTTTTTCCTCTGTTTTTTGTGGCCTCAGACAACGGGTGCACAGTGCACCTCTAGCACTCATTACAAAGGGTTAAATCAAGGAATAAATGTTTGCAAACTGAAAATTGTAAGCAGAAGCACCTACCACCACAGTTCAAAAATGAGCAGTAACAAATATGGTGGACTCGCCAAGCGCTTTCATATTACAGACTTGTAGAGGATGTGCAGACTCCACACACACACACACACAGTGGCCCTGGCCGGGAATCAAATTTTTTCTCATCGTTTAAACGAAATGAAGTTATTCGAGTTCCTGCTGTATATGTATTAGATTAATTGAATACACAAATAACCCGCACATAAAAGAGAGAAGCTTACGATGACGTTTCGGTCCGACTTGGACCATTGACAAAGTCAGTGTGACTTTGTCAATGGTCCAAGTCGGATCGAAACGTCGTCGTGAGCTTCTCTCTTTTATGTGCGGGTTATTTGTGTATCGTTCCAGTCACGGTAATGTGCCTTTTTTTTTGTTAATTGAATACAATAAGTCCTTGACTTAAGGAAATGTTGAGAACCATCTGCATTGTGTATATCATTACTATACACAATACAGAAGGTCCCAATGTGTCCATAAGTCAAGGACTTACTATGCTAAGTTTATAATTAAGTTTTCTTAATATAACATTATTAAATGTGATGATTATTTTAACAGGTAGGCATACATTCTTCAGTTATCACTTAGCTATTGATTTAGTTTTGAGTTTGTGTATTGTATTCCTGTTATTTAATTTTCATTGCGTCTTTCAGGGTAAATCCAGTGACTGGCAGGTACGAGCCTCCACGACCGTCACCTCTAGAGGGCATGACCGACGAGCAGAAGGAACACGAGGCGATGAAGCTTGTCAATGTTCTGGACAAACTCACAAGGTATCTCTTGGCAAACAAGAAACAGAAAACATCTTTTGGCAAACAAGGAACAAAAAATAAAATATCTCTTGCCAAACAAGGAACAAAAAGTCACAATACCGTAACTGGAAGAATTCACAAAGAAATCCGCACTGAGAGGAATCTCGTGATGTTTTTGTCTGTCTTGAACTATCATCAAGTAATGACTTAAACGATTTAGAATTTTGGAGAACCGACAAGTTGAACAACAAGACACTTGTGCAACTTGTGCCTCTTCAGTCCAATACAGCGAAGAATGGTGGGAGATGAGGAGTTGAGGTAATCAGTCCCTCAGTCTGGAATCCATGTCTGCAGTCCATCAAGAGCATCTCGACTCCAGGCTGAGGGACTCATTACCTCAAACGCCTCCTCAACTTCCACTGTTCTTCTCTGTACTGGACTGAAGAAGTCACTTGTTTTACTGCGACAGTAGAACAAAAAACGTGATTAACCACTTCACCGTCTGTGCCTTAGTACTACTGGTTTGAGGTCACTGTCTGTGCCATAGTACTACGCCATGAGCTCATCTCACTCAGATAAGATAAAGATGTTTATTTTGACAAATTACATGGTTGTACAGAGGACTATAGTAGTTGGTTGTACATGCCAAAAGCCCCTTTGTATTCAGAGCATTTAAAAAAAAATCCTGCAGCACAGTGCATAACGAGGAAAAAACTGCGACTGTTTTTTTGGTTTAAAACTGCGAATTTGCAGTGTTTTTTCACATGGTTTTTATGGTTGCATTTTTGTAATTTTGGTCTTATGTGATAGAACGGAAGATATATTACAGAAATGGAGATGATTTTGATTGCTTTCAGGACTGAAAATAGCTTGAAATTGAGCTCAAAGTAGCAGAAATGTTCGATTTTTCCTACATTCCAGAGTATACAAATTACGTCATTCGTCCACTGTAACGTAACGGCTTGATAAAGCTACTGGAGAGCGAAACGTTGCCACAATAAAATGACACATTAGTTGCACTTGTGGCCTTTTACTTTACAAGCATAATATAAGAGAGCTCTGGGAGCATAACTAATGAAAAGAGGAAATGTTTTTTTTAGTGCCAGGAATATCTGTATTGTTTATTCTGGACCCTATTTTTAAATAGGCAATTTTTGAATTTTTGTTAAAATGGCCAAGTTACCAATTTCCGATCACTTTACATGGTAGTTGAAATAGTTAAATGGGCAGTTTCTTGTACTCAGTTGATAGAATAGAAGTATTACTAGTGTGAAATACTTATGAGTTAGGTTGACTGAGACTGGAATTGGCCAAAAATAGGGCGCAAAGTGGGCAAAATCGCTGATGTGTAAATATCGTTGAGACCACTAAATTTGTGAGAGTGTAATTCTGTAAGTTTTCCATCAAATTTCATACTTTTGGTTTCATTACCATTTGAAAAATATTCTCTATCATTTCATACGATTTTTTTAAAATCTTGGACACTGAGAGCAATTCTCTGATCAGGAGTCTGGACGATGAACAGGTTAATTGACTGTTGTGCAGTTTTCTCATTGCGTCGCAATTTCCTGTTTACGCTTCAACAATTTCTGTCCCCTTTATGTATTACTGCTTTCATTGGTGGTATGTTATACAGTGGACCCCCGCATAATGATCAGCTCCCAACTCGACCAATTATGTAAGTGTATTTTCGTAAGTGCTTTTGTAGGTGTATTTTTGGGGGTCTGAAACGGACTAATCTAATTCACAATATTTCTTATGGGAACAAATTCGGTCTATAACGGCACCCAAACAGACTTCTGGATTGAAATGATATTGTTATGCGGGGGTCCACTGCAATTGCCTATATTTGTGCATATAAATTACAGTGGTACCTCGAATTTCAGCCATAATTCGTTTCAGAAGGCTGTTCGGGTGCCGTTACCAAACGAATTTGTTCCCATAAGGAATAATGTAAATTAGATAAGTGTGTTTCAGACCCCCAAAAACACACTTAGAAAAGTACTTACAAAAACACATGTACTTAATTGTTCGAGTTAGGAGCTGTTTGAAATTCGAGGTACCACTGTATAATATAAATTAACCTGACGTGAACTGGGTATATTTTTGCATATAAGTGACAGTCTAATATGAAGTAACTTGCTCTAAATAATATTTATTGAAAAATTTGCTTTAACTCGTGTGTGAAAATTGACATTTGCTTTAGAAAAACAAAATTTAATACAATTAGAATGGCGAGAACTTGGTATAAAACATCCACGAATTGTGGTTCAAGACACGAGTTGAAGATTGAGACACGTTCAACAGTTCTGTATCTTTATTGATAAAACGTTTTGCCTTCACAGTACGCTTCTTCGGTCAAATTACGGTGGATCCTCGAATTTTGTCATCCCTTTTCTGTATGTAAAACTATAGTTATTCTCTATAAAATGTATTTTTTGTTAATATTTCCCATAAGAAATAATGTAAATCCAATTAATCCATTCCAGACACCCAAAAATATTAACTATAGTTTTACATACAGAAAAGGGATGATGAGATTCAGGGGTCCACTACATCTAACTCCTCCTCCTTTGTATTGGACTGATGAAGCCGCTGTGAGGCAGAAGCATCTCATTCATCAACGTGTTGGTTCTCTGAACCACTTATCTATACAGTGGACCCCCGGTTAACGAACTTTTTTCATTCCTGTAGTATGTTCAGGTGCCAGTACTGACCGAATTTTTTCCATAAGGAATATTGTGAAGTAGATTAGTCCATTTCAGACCCCCAAACATACACGTACAAACGCACTTACATAAATACACTTACATAATTGGTCACATTTGGAGGTGATCGTTAAGCGGGGGTCCACTGTATACATGACTGAAGGATAGGTCATGTCAGGTCAGATTAGGTTACATAGGATTTGTCAGGAAACAGGATACGGGGACATATGATGACCCACAGCTTGAGCTTTTGGTCACCTGAATGAGGCCTTCCACTGGCTTACCCCTCCACCCCTTTAAAAATTATGGTTATTATTATCACCATTTCTTATTTATATATTAAAGGAGAATTTGTAATTATGTCATAAGAGGCGACTAAAATGCCGGGAGCAAGAGGCTAGTAACCCCTTCTCTGTATAAATTATTAAATTTAAAAGGAAAACTTTCGTTTTTCTTTTAAGGTCGTCCCGCCTCGGTGGCGTACTGCCGGTGCATTAGAAAAAAAAAAATGTTCTTAATGACATTATTATAATTACAGAAACAACATCATCCAGCCTTGCCGCATCGGCGACGACGGGAAACCTCACCCCATCGAGAGCGTAATGGAACTGCAAGAAGGGATGGGCGTCAAGCAACCTCCCAACCACAACAGTGAAGGCTCCCACTAGCTGCATGGCCGTCACACATTAAACACTGGCATTTACCCTTTTATATCGATACAAATCGTGACTTAGTTTGTATTTTGCACTTTTTATCACCAACCTTTTGGTAATAAACATATCTTCGAGCTGATAGGTGAAAGATGTCGGGGCCCCTAACTGGCTCTGGGGTACATGGACACCCCAGTAATTGTAGGAATTTTAAGCGTATTTATGTCGTCGGTTTGAAACTTGTAGTGAATGGTGCGTAAATGGCCAACTGGGTATAGAAAACGTGTAGTAGATCAAGCCTTTTATTGTTAGGTAAAAGGATGCAGATGCAACTGATGTGACATTTTATTGTGGAGATAAATGGTACAAAATACCAACACGATGGAAAAAATAAATGAAGCATAATGCGATCCTTTATTGTAGTTTCGCCCACACAGTGGGCTTATCAATCACAAACAGCTCTGTGACTTCATAAAGTCCACTGTGTAGGCAAAACGTAGTCAGTAAAGAATTGTTTATTTTTCCAACATTTTATTGTGGCGACGTTTCGCTCTCCAGGAGCTTTGTCAAGCTGTTACACCTTAACAAAGCTCCTGGAGACCAAAACATTGCCTCACTAAAATGCTGCATTAATTGCACTTGTATTCTTTTACCTAATAATTTGTGGGGTAACTCTACCATTATTACTGACCTTGTTTTACATGAGGTTTTGCCTGAACTGCAGTGCCTCCACTTGTCATTCAAGAAAAGTGAGGATATTTCCACTCAGAGGGTACCTGAATGGTGATGTCTGATTGCCTCTAACAAGACAATGACTCAACAAATGACTGAACACGTGACTGAATTTGGCAGGAGATAATGTACAATTCGGGACACTTACTAGAGGAAATGGCTCGCCATGAGCGGCATCTTCAGTCTTGTCTGTACCACCATTTCTCACTTTGGTGGGAGATGGCCAGTGTATCAAAATACTTGAAACAGAATTTTTTGAAGGCTACCCTATGTACAGTACAGCAAGTCTTCGACTAACGAACATATTGATGATGCTTCCTGTATTATGAATATTATACATAATACAGAAGGTCCCCAATGTGTTCGTAAGTCAAGGACTTACGAACACATTGCTTCAAATCCTATTGAGGGCAAACCGTCATACAACAAAGGCTCGCTCTGCTAGATGCGTTTTCCATTCCTAGTTTTGAGAATTGTCTTCACTGTTGTATGACTGAGATCATAGCACTTAAAAAACTTTGTCTTAGGTGTTATTCTTCCCTTTTTGATGAAGAAGATTTATAAACGAGTGTCGTTGTGTGCTGCATTTCTCCTCGATGTTTTATATGCGAATTGATAAGCTGGAATAACGTACAGTACATTGTTACTATTATTTTTTTAAGAAACCTGCCATATCCCACCTAAGCAAGGTGACCAAAAGTGAAAAACAAAGTTTTTCTTTTTAAACATATTAATGTATACAGGAGAAAGGGTTACTAGCCCCTTGCTCCTAGCATTTTTGTTGCCTATTATGACACGTGTGGCTTACGGAGGTAGAATTCTGTTCCACTTCCACTTATTATTAGTTCAGGTGCACATCTCTCTTTCTGAAACCCTTGGGCCTGTATTGTTTCGAATTTCAGACTTTTTCGAATTTTGGAATGATTCTCAACGCCGCCACGTGGCGGTGTGACCCAGCACAGAGATGACTGATCCTCCACACTCCACAAAAAAATTTCGGTTTTCGGAATTTTTCGAATTTCAGAATTTAGGATAAAGGGATGTGGACCCGTATTATTATTATTATTATTGTTATTATTATTGTGTACAGTATACTCTCTTTTAAAGCTCCTCTGTATAGTGTGATCTTTTAATGGGATTGAAAATGTGCATCCAAGATTAAATTACACGACCTATGGAGGCCTTTCAGTGCACCGTTCAATTTTGGATGTACTTCTTCAGTTGTAGTTGCAAAAAATGCATTATATAGCAGTTTTTTAAAAGAGTAGCCTCGATCAGTGCAAATTCAGTTAGCTTGAGTTTGATTAGTGCGGGTTCAATTAGTGAGTTTCATTAGTGCAAGTTCAATTAGTGTGAGCTCGATTAGTGTGAGCTCGATTAGTGTGAGCTCGATTAGTGCAAGTTCGATTAATGAGATTTAGTACAAAATTTATTTATGCGAGTCTTTTCTCCCAGACTCGTCAAATTTTGTTAAAAAATTACATATATAATTGGAGTAGCGTGAATTTGAATAATGGGACCACTTTTCAGGATTCATTATTCCCACTAGTCAAAGTTACTTAATTTTTATTATTAATGTTAGTGTTAATGTTGCAGTTTTATAGCTGTAGTGTAAGCCCGCCTCTGGCAAGACAGTCATGGAGTGAAAGATGGTGAAAGTTTTTCTTTTTTGGGCCACCCTGCCTTGGTGGGCCACCCTGCCTTGGTGGGCCACCCTGCCTTGGTGGGCCACCCTGCCTTGGTGGGCCACCCTGCCTTGGTGGGCCACCCTGCCTTGGTGGGCCACCCTGCCTTGGTGGACCACCCTGCCTTGGTGGACCACCCTGCCTTGGTGGGCCACCCTGCCTTGGTGGACCACCCTGCCTTGGTGGGCCACCCTGCCTTGGTGGACCACCCTGCCTTGGTGGTCCACCCTGCCTTGGTGGACCACCCTGCCTTGGTGGGCCACCCTGCCTTGGTGGGCCACCCTGCCTTGGTGGGCCACCCTGCCTTGGTGGGCAGCAGCCGATGTGTTAGTAAAAAAAAGAAATCGAATAACATCCAGAAAGTGAATTCCTGCTAAATCAATTCCTGTGTTTTTATCTTTGTTATTAACACATCGACTGTTACCCACCAATGCAGGGTGACCCAGAAAAGAAGAAATACTTGATCATCATTCACTCCACCTCTGTCTTGCCAGAAGCATGCTTACACTACAGTTATAAAACTGCAACATCAGCACCTCTCCTGTGTTTTGTAGTGTAGAAATACCTTTTATAGCACAGTTACCGGGTGCCGAAAAATTTCCATGCTATGCAAAACCGCACCGTTTAAAAGATCGTGATAATGCATTAGCGTAATGAGCCCAATGTGAAATAACGCTAATGCGTGCATTGATACCCCACCTGTACCCAGAGCAGAGTTAAGATTTTGTAGGCCCTTGTTGGTACTATGAGACCCTCTGGGCTACAGGTACTGTGAGGCCCCTGGGCTACAGGTACTGTGAGGCCCCTGGGCTACAGGTACTGTGAGACCCCTGGGCTACAAGTACTGTGAGACCCCCAGTGATATTTTCAGTAGGAATGAAAAGTTAAAGGAATATCCAATGAAAACCAAACAGTTCATCATATACGTGCTGTAATAAAATGTTACATAAACCTGGGAGCAAGGGGCTAGTAGCCCCTTGCTACCAGGGGCTAGTAGCCCCTTCTCCTGTATACATTACTAAATTTAAAATAGCTTTCAATTTTCATTTTGGTCACGCTGCCTCGGTGGGATACAGCCTGTTTATTGAAAAAAAACTTAGAGCAGTAATTATGAACATTTTTCACATAATCTCTGGAGGCCTTCCAGCTGGCGGTGTCCCTCCAGCTGGTGGAGGACCTCCAGCTGGTGCTGTCCCTCCAGCTGGTGGAGGACCTCCAGCTGGTGGAGGACCTCCAGCTGGCAGAGAACCTCCAGCTGGTGGAGGACCTCCAGCTGGTGGAGGACCTCCAGCTGGTGGAGGACCTCCAGCTGGTGGAGGACCTCCAGCTGGAGGAGGACCTCCAGCTGGTGGTGTCCCTCCAGCTGGTGGTGTCCCTCCAGCTGGTGGTGTCCCTCCAGCTGGTACTGTCCCTCCAGCTGGTGGAGGCCCCTGGGCTGCAGCCCCTGAAGCCCACGCCTTAATCCCGCCCTGACCGTTCCCCACGCACACGTGAGTGCTCCTCACTGTGGTGAGTACGCACTTCACTACTGCACCAACATCAAAAAAAAACTTTAGTCAAAATCTTTAAATTTATAAACGGTTCTGTAGCAAAACCCTCGCTTTTCAGATCTGCGTTACACAGGCGCTCTTCGACTCATTATGGTTCGGCTTACGATATTTTGACATTACAATGGTGCAAAAGCAATTACTTTAAAAATAAAACTTGAGATAATTATCCAGCATAAAGGCTGCAAGTTCCTAACTTTTTTTTTTTTTTTTTTTTCAACAAGTCGGCCGTCTCCCACCTACCATCCGACTTACGACCTGCTCGACTTACGACCGTGTTTTTTATGCCAAATTTCTGGGAAATAAACAAGTATTTGTGTTGTACACAGTGTTTATCCTAAACCTTACAGTATAAAATACAATACTAACAACAGAAAAAGTAAAGTAAAACATGAAATACCAAAATAAAACAATAAAATAAAGTCATTACAAAAATGTTTTGTTGATATTCAGTAGTAAAGTTCGACTTACGACCATTTCGACTTACGACCAGTTTCTCGGAACTGAACTCGGTCGGATGGTAGGTGTATTTAGTTAGATAAAAATGAGATTTTGTTGGGTTTTTTAACTCTGGAGGGTTAGCCATGTGGAATAACCCAAGAGAGGCAGTGTGTCATTGAGGGACTGCATGTCTGATTTCCATTGGGGTCCTCAATCTTGTACCTATTTGCTAGTTAGTTACAGTAATTATTTGTTTACTTACTCAGTGACAATAATTATTTATTTAACATATATTCGTATTCGATTTACAATATTTTTGACTTAGGATATTTGCGACTTAGGATATTTTCAACTTAGAATATTTTCGACTTACGATATTTTCTACTTATGATATTTTCGACTCACAGTGGATTCATCGGAATGTAACACCATTGTAAGTTGAGAAACAACCATACCAGGTATTAAAATTATAATCCGCGCTATAGCAGAACCCGCACTATTCAGAACCGCGTTGTACAAGGTATTACTCCACATATACGAACTCGCACTTCATCTGTCAACCACGAGTGTGTGTGACACACTTAATTTTCTACTGACCTTAGGTACCATAGCACTTGGTATCGTCATCACAAAGTTAGGATAGTCTATTGTAGAGTGACGGCTGCTTTTTGTAATAATAATAATAGATTTTTCATAAGATAGATTTTACAAAATTTGACGATATTTAATAGTACAGTATAACAGTATAAACAGACTTAAAAAATTATGGTCAAAATCCGCTAGTAAAGTTGTACTTTTAACTTATTTATTGTTAGCATTTATTGCAGTGTATCTGTAAACTGTGTACAGTGCTTTATTAGGTCTACAGTAGAGTACAGTGGACCCCCGCTTAACGATCCCCTCCAAATGCGACTAATTATGTAAGTGTATTTATGTAAGTGCGTTTGTACGTGTATGTTTGGGGGTCTGAAATGGACTAATCTACTTCACAATATTCCTTATGGGAAAAAATTCGGTCAGTACTGTCACCTGAACATACTTCTGGAATGAAAAAAGTTCGTTAACCGGGGGTCCACTGTACTTCTGTGGAAACATTTCACCAGCCAGCGGCTTCTTCAGTCCAATACTGTAAAGAATGGTGTAAGACGAGTTTGAGGTAATCAGTCCCTCAGTCTGGAATCCATGTGTTCAGTCCAACGATCTTGATAAATATCATTGTTATTTTTGAACGTTATTCTGATTTAACACAATCTTGGACAGTAGACCCTATTAGTGCTTTATATTAAACCCTTAAACTGTCCAAACAGATCTACGTTCACATGTGTAGTGTTCCAAAAGTAGATCTATGTTTTTTTTACATATTTTCAAATATAACAAAAAGTAGATCGAAGTTTTTTTTACACATTTTCAAATGTAAAAAAACAAAAAAAAAGATCTACTTATTTTACATTTTTCAAATGTTGAAAAAACGTATATATACGTTTGGACCGTTTACGGGTTAAGTGTTAAGGGTTTACTGTGCTTGTCAAGCCCCTGGTTACACAGAGCACTTTAGGCATGCTAGAACATAGACCTAATTGAATGTAAAACTTGTAAGAGTTTAAACAAGTTTAAAAATTTACTGTGGCACCAAGAGCATGTTACCTAGAACATAAGAACATAAGAAAGGAGGAACACTGCAGGAGGCCTGCTGGCCCATACTAGGCAGGTCCTTTACAATTCATCCCACTAACAAAACATTTACCCAACCCAATTTTCAATGCTACCCAAGAAATAAGCTCTGATGTGAAAGTCCCACTCAAATCCAACCCTTCCCACTCATGTACTTATCCAACCTAGATTTGAAACTACCCAAAGTCCTAGCCTCAATAACCCAACTAGGTAGACTGTTCCACTCATCAACTACCCTATTTCCAAACCAATACTTTCCTATGTCCTTTCTAAATCTAAACTTATCTAATTTAAATCCATTACTGCGGGTTCTCTCTTGGAGAGACATCCTCAAGACCTTATTAATATCCCCTTTATTAATACCTATCTTCCACTTATACACTTCGATCAGGTCTCCCCTCATTCTTCGTCTAACAAGTGAATGTAACTTAAGAGTCTTCAATCTTTCTTCATAAGGAAGATTCTGATGCTATGTATTAATTTAGTCATCCTACGCTGATTTTTTCTAACGAATTTATGTCCATTTTGTAATACGGAGACCAGAACTGAGCTGCATAATCAAGGTGAGGCCTTACTAATGATGTATAAAGCTGCAGTATGACCTCTGGACTTCTGTTGCTTACACTTCTTGATATAAATCCCAGTAATCTATTTGCCTTATTACGTACGCTTAGGCATTGCTGTCTTGGTTTAAGGTTGCTGCTCACCATAACCCCCAAGTCCTTTTCGCAATCTGTATGGCTAAGTTCTACATCATTTAATTTATAAGTACTGGGTTATGGGCACTCCCAAGCTTCAGAACCTTGCACTTATCTACATTGAACTGCAATCTGCCACTTTTCTGACCAAGAATAGAGTTTGTTTAAGTCCTCCTGAAGTTCCCTAACATCTACGTTTGAATCAATTATCCTACCTATCTTTGTGTCATCGGCGAATTTGCTCATATCACTAGTAATTCCCTCATCAAGATCATTGATATATATTATAAACAACAACGGGCCCAAGACTGATCCCTGTGGAACGCCACTTGTTACAGATCCCCATCGGATTTAACCCATTTATGGACACTCTCTGCTTCCTGTCAGTGAGCCATGACTCGATCCACGAGAGCACTTTTCCCCCAATGCCATGGGCTGCCACTTTCTTTAACAGTCTATGGTGCGGAACTCTATCAAAAGCCTTACTAAAATCTAAGTAAATAATATCAAATTCTTTATTGTGGTCAACAGCCTCAAAAGCTTTACTGAAGAAAGTTAATAAATTAGTTAGACAAGACCGGCCTCTTGTGAATCCATGCTGAGTATCATTAATCAAGCTATGCTTATCGAGATGGCTTCTTATAATCTCAGCTATAATTGACTCTAGTAATTTTGCCTACAATTGAGGTCAGGCTTATTGGGCGGTAATTTGACGGTAACGACTTGTCCCCTGTTTTAAAAATAGGAGTTACATTAGCCATCTTCCACATATCAGACACTACACCTGTTTGAAGAGATAAATTAAAAATATTAGTTAATGGTTCACAGAGTTCCATTTTGCATTCCTTAAGAACCCTTGAAAAAACCTCATCAGGACCGTCGACTTATTTTGCTTCAGTCTGTCTATCTGCCTCACAACCATCTCACTAGTGACTGTGATGTTACATAATTTATCTTCTTCTAGCCCACTGTAAAAATTAATTACTGGAATATTGTTAGTGTCTTCCTGTGTAAAAACTGAGAGAAAATAATTATTTAAAATCAAGCACATTTCATTCTCATTGTCAGTAAGGTGCCCATAGTTATTTTTAAGGGGACCTATCTTATCTCTAACTTTTGTTCTATAGACCTGGAAAAACTTTTTGGGTTAGTTTTAAATCCCCAGCAACTTTAATTTCATAGTCCCTTTTAGCTTTTCTTATCCCCTTTTTAATGTCCCTCTTAATGTCAATATACTGATTCATAAGATGACCCTCACCTCTTTTGATACGCCTTATAAATTCCTTTCTTATGCCCTAGTAGATATTTGAGCCTATTAATTCATCCATTTTGGGTCATTTCTATTTGATCTAATTTTTTATATGGGATAAACGCTCTTTGAGCAGCATGTATAGTGTTCAGAAAACTGTCATATTGATAGCTCTCTTCGTTACCCCAGTCAACAGATGATAAGTGTTCTTTAAGCCATCGTAATCTGCTAAGCGAAAATCTGGGACTGTTACTGAGTTATCGCTACTATCGTACTTCCATTCAATGCTAAATGTAATTGATTTGTGGTCGCTAGCACCCAGTTCCTCTGAAATTTCTAAATTATTAACAAGGGATTCATTGTTTGCATAACTAAGTCAAGCAGGTTATTTCCCCTTGTAGGTTCTGTCACAAACTGCTTCAAAAAACAATCCTGAAATACTTCTAAGAAGTCGTACGATTCTAAATTCCCAGTCAAGAAATTCCAATCAACATGACTAAAGTTAAAGTCTCCTAGAATTACTACATTATCGTGCCTTGTGGCCTTAACAATTTCCTCCATTAGTAGTTTCCCTTGGTCCCTATCTAAGTTAGGGGGACGGTATATCACTCCTAAATCAGTTTTTCATGCCCCTCTGAAAATTCTATCCAAACAGACTCTGTATGTGTTACTTCAGACTTAATACCCGTTTTTATGCAACAGTTCAAGCGATCTCGGACGTACAATGCCACCCCACCCCCCTCCCAATACTTCTATCTTCTTGGAACAATTTAAAACCCTGAATATGACATTCCGCAGGCATGTCCCGACTTTTTGAAATTAAACCACGTCTCAGTTAAGGCAAATACATCAATGTTACCTACATAGCAACTAATCTCAACTCGTCCATCTTATTCCTAGCACTACGGCAATTAGCATAATAAACATTGAAAGACTCTCCTTTCTCTTTACCCTTCCTGCTCATTTCTATTTTTTCTACTAAACCTATTACCGTCTTTTATCACCCAAGGTCCCTGGCTTTTCAATATCTATCTCGTTCTTATTATTACTAGTTCCCCCAGAACTCGTAATATTACTACACTGGGACTTCACTGTTTTCCTGCCAAAACCCATACCACTAACTATTCCTAGTTAAAGTCCTAACTGCTCCCTCCA